CCCTGCTCTAGCAGAACCAAAATGCTGATATTTTCACTGGTCTTGCAAACATTTAGAAGTAACCCCATCTCTCCACTTTTTTCCTATCTTCCTCCCTTGGTTCATTATATTCCTATTCCTATATTTGGTTCTATCCAATACTGATTAATCCATAAAGGAGGACCTATCATGGAAAGATAACATTATTACAAATTAATAAACGTGTAACACCATACATGTTAGCTTAAAAGCTATTTAGACAATACCTCCACAGCATAATTCAAACTAAATGGCTGGCTATCAGAATTTAGCAAAATATTATCCATTAAAATATGCTGCAACATATAAAATATTTATTTTTGGTAAAGGTACCCCTGTAAATAAATTCTTCAAGCAATGTAGAGTTGTGGGCTCCTCCTAAATAATAAAACAGTGTTATTACTCACCTTCTATCCTCGACACTGGTCTTGCCACCGCACTACTCCTCCCCAGGCTGAGATCATCATTACTGACAATCTCAGCCAATCCAATGCTTCCTCATAATAAAGCATTGGGGGACTATTGTGCATGCGCAGCAACTGCCGCCCTGCACCAGTCAGCATCTCCTCATAGCGATGCATTGACTCATGATGAGCGGAAAGACACCGAATGTCGGTCCTGCAAAGACTGAAGCAGGAAGCTCCTTTATTGGCCGTCTGAGTGACTGCCAGTAGAGGTGGCCATAGGAAGCAATGTAAACACTGCCTTTTCCGAGGGAAGGCAGCGTTTAGATTGCTCAATCTGCAGGACAGGCTATAGACACCACACCAGAACCACTACTGCTTTTGTTTATAATGGAATAATTGAAAATATTCCTTGTTTTTTTTCTATTTTTATCAGCTCTCTCCTAATCCATTACTGCTGCCATCATTCCATCTCTCTCACATCACTTCATCTTTTTATCTGTCTCTCTCCATCCTTCTAGCTATCATCTCTCTCTCCATCCTTTTATCTTTTCATCTCCCCCTCTCTCTCCATCACTTCATCTTTTCATCTCTCAGTCCATCCTTCCATCTATCATCTCTCGCATCATTCTAACATTTTGTCAATCTTTTCATCTTTTTCTAACTCTTTCTTTTTTCATCTCTCTCCCATATTATCTTTTTACTTCCCCATATCTTCTCACCCCATCTTTTCATTTCACTCGCTTTACATGTTTTTCTCTATTTAAATCTCTTTTTTTAAATCTCTTTTTTCATATCTTCCTCACCTTTTCATCTTTTTTCATCTGTATCACTTTCTCAGTCACTGTCCATCATTTCATCTGTCTGTCACATTATGCTTTCATCTTTCTGTCTAGCCATCTCTCTTTCATTATATGCATCCTCTCTCTCTCTCTCTATCTCTCTGTATTGCTCTTTCCCTCTCACTCCCTCCTTCTCACTCTCTCTCACAAACTCCCTCTCTCTCTTTCTTTCTTTTCTCTCTCAAACACTCTCAATCTTTCTCTCTCACTCTCTTTCTCTCTGTTGCTCTCTCTCACACTCTCTCAGTCCTTCTCTCTCTGTCTGTTTCTCTCTCACTCACACTCTCTCAGTCCTTCTCTCTATCTTTCTCTCACACTCTCTCTCAGTCCTTCTCTCTCTGTCTCTCTCTCACACTCCTCACTCTCTCTCTTTCACTCTCTGTCTCTCTCTGTCTGTTTCTCACACTCTCTCTGTCTCTCTCTCATTGTCTCTGTATTTCTCTCTCATGCTGTCTCTCTCTCTGTCTCACTCTAACTCTCTTTCTCTTTCTCTGTCTGTATCTCTCTCTGTGTCTGTCTCTTTCTCTCTCACTCTCTGTCTCTCTCTCACTCTCTGTCTCTCTCTTACTCTCTGTCTTTCTCTCTCTGTGTCTCACTCACTCTAACTTTCTTTCTCTGTCTCTCTCTCTCTGCCTGTCTTTATCTCTCTCTGTGTCTCACTCACTCTAACTCTCTGTCTCTCTCTCACTGTCTCACTCTCTTTCTCTGTATTTCAGTCTGTCTCACTCTCTCTCTCTCTCTGTGTGTCTTACTCACTCTAACTCTCTTTCTCTGTCTGTCTCACTCTCTCACACTCTGTCTCTGTTTCTCTCATTCTCTGTCTCTATCTGTGTCTCACTCACTCTAACTCTCTTTCTCTATCTCTCTGTCTGTATCTGTCTCTCTCACTCACTCCCTGTCTCTCTCTCACTATCTCACTCACTCTAACTCTCTGTCTCTCTCTCACTGTCTCACTCTCTTTCTCTGTATCTCAGTCTGTCTCTCTCTGTGTCTCTCTCTCCCTGTCTCACTCTCTCGCACTCTGTCTCTGTTTCTCTCACTCTCTGTCTCTATCTGTGTCTCACTCACTCTAACTCTCTGTCTGTTTCTCTCACTCCCTGTCTCTCTCTCACTGTCTCACTCTCTCGCACTCTGTCTGTCTCTCGCTGTCCAAGGTGCTGAACTCTCAGTAATGAAGCTCCAGTGGAGGAAGCTCAGCGGGGAAAAGCACTCAGAGCCTCTAATATATCAAGGGAATGATTTCATCTGTCAAACAAAGGGCAAATCCTGCAGAGTGAGGACAGCTGGGGGGATAGGGGAGGTAGAAATCAAAAAAGTCGGGGGGCGGGGGTCAAAACAAGCAGAGAAAACAGAAAGCAAGGAAAAGAAATGTACCGAGCATGGTCTGAGGTCAGGGTGGGGCTATTTTTGGCTATAGATCTCCCCGTGGACCTTCTCTCTGACTGCCCTGAGCTGGGTCACTCTTACAATGTTCTATCTTTGACAGTTTAGCACAATAACCACTGATACATTGTAGCCAAGCAGGATCCAATCCAGACAGGAGAGGGTTTATTGCAGTCATATATCAGTCACAATGACCCCAGGTAATACACATTCATTACTACTACTGAGACAATGGAAATATTCTTCATTTAGTCCATGTATAGCAGGAGAGGCCAATCTCCAGATGTTTTGGGACTACATTTCCCATCAAGCTCTAATAGCCTTTTTTTTAACACAAAAATATTTTCAGTGTCAAAGTTTAGTAATTACAATTAAAGAAAATTTCTATATACCCTCACTCCAAAAAAACCCTAATAAAATAAAACCTGAAGCTATGGTCTATATAATGCAGGTCATAATGCAGATCCCCTATGGTTCTCCAGAAATGAGATGAAACCCCTTCAGATTGCAGTCTGGACTGGAAACTGGACTTCCTAATGCAGATGTTGTAGAACTACAACTCCCACAAGGCTTTGCATGCCTTTAGACTCATGAAAGATGTCGTTTTAAAACATCTGGGGATCTACATCTTGGGTACCCCTGCCTTAATGTTTGCTGTAGGAGTCATTGATGTCTCTGTGAGCTACCCTGTAACATATCCATCTGAGATAAGTCTCAGAGTCTTCCTGGTAGGATTCCAAAACAGAGACCCATAGCTCTGTGCATTTCAAGGAGAAATTGTGAAGCCACCAGGATAACCCTGAGGCAGAATGTTTAGATCAAAGGAAACCTGTAGATCTGACTGCTGTTTGGATGAGGATTAGAAGAGGGGGTGAGATCCCCTGCCCTGGGGAGTTTATTAGCCCTGAGATCCTGGTTTATCATGGAATATCCCTGTGGTTGCACTTGGGGCCTTCATGCAGATCTGCATTGCTTCTCTCTGTCACATTGAGCATATTACCCAAGAATTGGCTGCTCAGCTGATCTTTCATTGAGCTGTTAACGCTTATTGGTTTCACTAATGAGGACAAATGTCAGTGGAGAATGAACCTGAACTGTGTGGGATCCATTTAGCACTGAAAACACAACTTCATCCATTCTGAGCAAGACACGTTCAATAGTTCCTGGATATCTATACTGCAGGGACATTAGCTCCACAGATCCCATAGGGATTAACATGCAGCATACACATTCAGTCACATAGATCCCATAGAACACATCCCCACTACAAGGGTACATTCCCATACAGATATATCCCATAAGGAGAGATGTGCTACTTACACATATTCACTATAGAAGTATTTCACCTACAGATCTCACAAGAGTGGATGTGTCCCCAACACATCTCCATTATAGGAGCACTTACCCTGCTATAGGGCTTGTTCTACATATCCCTCTATACATTAAGAGATCATTTTAACACCACCAGCACATACATCCATTGGAGTGTGATTTGTTCCCTACAGAACCCTTATAATGACATAACATTCTATTACTATGGCAATCTATATCCTACAGACCCAACTGTGTGAGTATAAAATCCCATATTACAGCTGTCAGAGCTTCACTGACTACCTTCATCCTGATCCAGGATACTAAACAGTATTCCTTAATTAAATGAAGCATTGGAGCACATATCCTACATATCTGCACTGTGTGATGCTCTCAATACAGTATGTAAGGCTGGGATTCTTACTGACAGGCATAGCATATAATAACAAATATATAGATAATCTGTATAGGGTGCCCACTTTAAAATGTCCTCCAGTATGTCAAATTTATTTTTAGTAGTGTGTGTGGAACTGCACTCACTCCCATAAATCTGAGCCAGGGTGCTTGCTGAACTGGAATCATATACCAGATTTCCAAAAATTAATAAAGTAATAGAGGTCCAGGCATTCCTTGGTTCAAGACAGGTACAACAGCAATTTAGTCTCCTTCTCTGTAGGGAGTCACACCATGCTTATCTCCTCTAACATAGATAGACAGATATATAGACAAGACAGACAGATAGTGAAAAAAAGATCCCAAGCTATGGTGTGGGTGGCTGAGCATTATAAGTGTTGTTCTACATCAAAAACATCATGGTCTAGCTTTTGCCCCCCTCCCCCCACACACACACACACACATACATTACACTGAACCTGCAACATGCTCCTTAATGCCCCCCCCACTCCCCAAAAAGTTCCTATATACCATTTACCATATATGGATTCAGTGTTTAAACTCAGGGAAAGGACCAAGCCTGAGCTGTGCACAGAGTGGGTCACAGAGCTGACAATCTAAAACAATTGCCATATGTAGAAACCAGGGACTCTGTTCTCTATAAACTGATTCAGTGCTAAGGTATTTCAGCAATGTATGCTGAATGTAGTCATCCCTTTATAATTTTATAATTAATGTTCTTTATATCTGCAATATAAGAGATATGACACACAACAAATGGGAATAGGACAACTTAACCCTGTCCAAACCAGCACAGGCTAAATATCGTAATTTAACTCCCTTCATAAGAGTCCGTGTCCCTTTAAACAGGCGATTTATAATATCTTTTTTTTTCTTTTTTTCTCTCTCTCTCTTTTTTTTTTTTGCAGAGTCGGATCCTTCCGCTTGCCTCGGATCGTAGCACCAGCAGATCCCTCCGCCTGTAGAGCATCCTGCAGTGGGAGAGTGGCTTGTAGCCCCCCGGGTTATAGAACCATGGGAGCCTGGGGTCTCAGCCTGGGGGTCCTGCATTGCCTGGGGGTCTACCTGCAGCTGAGCGCCGGGGATAAACACAACGCAGCTGATGGTAATAGAATATTAAGTGAAATGTCTATTCTGGGGACAGACTAATATGGGGGTTCTAATATTGGTGGGCTGAGTTTTGGGGGTCCCTGTGTAGGCTGGTATGTGATTTTTTGGGGTGTCTAGGAGAATCCAGCACTTGTATCAATTGGTTCTGGGTTTTTAAGAATTTGGGGGGCTTCTATAGTGCTTTGGTAATATTTGATATAATATAGATTTTGGGGAGGGGGGCTACTTATCTTAGTTTTGGGAATGGGGGTCTCTAAATCTCTAGGGTCTATTTTTGGAAATTCTGTATACTGCCTTGAATGCTGTGATGGGGTATTTAATTGGCAAAGTAGATATTGTAGGGTTTCTGTATGACATAAAGCATGGTTTAAATGTTGGGGTGATGGCTCTGTATAAGTGGGTTCTGTTTATTGCCGTAAAGTTGTCTCTAAGGTGCATTCCATTGGCTATTTTTAAAGATATGAGTTATATTGATATATGTTATTTAAGGGGTGTAATAAGTGTATGCATGCAAAATGTTATAGTATATTATTGCTATATAAAGGCTAATGGTAACGATTTAGAATTTCTACAAATCTTGGAAAACACTTTAATAGAATGTTTATCATCTAACCTTGTTAGGAATGTTCAATCATTGAACAAATATTTAGTATTTTTTTGTGGTGCTCTTAGTATTGATCCATATTAACATTATTTTAGTATCTTGATGTCTATTTCAAATTATTGAATATCAAAATGAACCAGAGTAGATTATGATATGGGTAATAACATAGTGTGAGATTGTGTTTTTTTTTTAAATGTATTTATTTATTTTTGCTTTTTAAAGCTGTTCCTAATAAATTTCCCAAAAGAAGCATCGTCAGTATCCGATTTGTATTCGATTTAGTAATGTCCTAAACTAAAAAAAGAAGTGTGTGTTTGTTATTGAAGCTTTGTGATACAGATTGGGTATCTGTCATTGAGATATATGATAAACATTAATCTATCCATTATTTTGTTGTATGATAAAGACTAATGTATCTGTTAATGGCAGCTTGATAAACGCTAGCATGGCTGTTGTTAGGAGCATGATAAAGACTACTGTATCTGTGCTTGGGGGTGTGATAAAAGTAAAATTAGAAACAAAGACGATTAGCGTCTCTGTTATTGAAGGTATGATAAAAATAGCATATCTGTGATTAGTGTGAAAGATATGGACTGACTAAAATTTAATTCACTGGATTACAGGATAAAAACTAGTACATTTGATAGACTAGAAAATCGAATATTGGGCTGTGTGATAAAAATGGCTAGTATGTGTGTTATTGGGGGTATGATAAAAACTATTATTATCTCTTAGTAGGGTTCATTATAATATGTTAATGTATTCTACTATACCATGAACCCAATGTATCTGTCATTGGGCGTACGATAAAGACTAGAATATCTGTTATTGGGGCATGTAATAGAGATGAATATATGTGTTATTGATAAGACTAGTAAATGTGGTTTTGGTTGTGTGATAAAGACTTGTATATCTTCTATTTGGGAGAGTGTGGTAGAGATAAAATAATCATTATATATGTTTAATTTTAATGATAACACTTCATTTGGGGGCATGGTTATTATTAATGATAAAAGTGAATATATTATTTAGTTGCCAGTTATTATCTTGTAGGATACAGAGTATAAATGCTGTTAAATTGGGCTGTAGTAGAAGCTGTGGTGGCTGTTATTGGTGTGTATATGTAAATGAGATGGTATTATATGCTATCCGAGAGCGTGATAATGATTTGGAATGACTATTATTAGAAATAACAATTTTAACTTATGTTCTGGAGGATGGAAACTGGGACAGTTTATTGTGTGTGTTATTAAGAGCGCAATTAATATTGGAACATAATTACTGAGAGGTGTGAAAAAGGCTTTCTCCATGACACCCCCTCCACCTGCTAAAAAATTTTTTTTTTTGCATTATTAGCAAGTAAGGAAATATATCTATTTTTGAAGATCAAAGGCTCCCAGTTTTCATTTTTCAGTCACTATGGTTTGGAGTGAATTTGAGGAATTTAACAAATGTCTGTAAGGCCAAGAGCTGACATCACTGTTTAAGCTGGTTTTCAAACCGTTTAGAATTGTTTTTTAAATACATTTTCACCAATAGACATACCTTGAGTATATACTTCGTAAGCTCCTCCGTTTATTTAAATAGATCACTTCACCTGTGTTGGAACCCCTTGTACAGTTGAAGACGTTGTTTTAAAACACATTTACCCCCCCATGAGCACAACTCCCAAAATAGAAAATACCAATATTGTTTGAGAGCAATGTTGCCATGTCCATTGGACTACATTCTTTTTGATGAACACTTAGCATGTTGGAATAAAGATATTCTATATGCGCAATTAGTTCATTGCAAAACTATTATTTTCTATCAGCCCATATTTAAAATATTTGTTTATTGGTGTCGTGTTATAAACCAGAGGTTTTTTAATACAAATAATGTTGGCTAAGAACGGGATGGATACTCTGATCAAAGATATGGGTTAGATAGATTTATTCACAAAATTCTGAGCTTTGGAACACAAAGTCGTGTTTAGAAAATGTAGGCAGAATGAGATGAAGATGAATTATAGATTCAGTTGACTTGACACCTGCTCAGCTAGAAAGTTTACATTTCCCCCAAATTAAGTATCCATTGATCTCTAATAGAACTTGGACAACGATCTCCACTTACAAAAAATGTGGTAAAATATAGACTCTACCCAAGTGTCCACATGGCGAAAGGCACCAATACGTCCTTATTTCTCTTTTACCAAATGGGGGACAAGATTTTTATTAATATATATATTTTTTAATTTTTTTTTAAGAATGTGATAATTCTCTGTTTTTTTATCTGAGTGTAGTTGCCTCTAATTCTCCTGTGTCATTCTCTTGGTTTACTGAATAAACAGTTGGAAGTAATGTGTTTGACATGCTGAATAAGTACATAAAAAGATGTATGTTTATTTAAATTACATTGATTTTGGTCTCAATACCGATGATGTTGTAATAATTTTGGCAAAAATATTGAAAGAACCAATAAAAAAAAAAAAAAAAAAAAAAAAAAAAAAAAAAAAAAAAAAAAAAAAAAAAAAAAAAAAAAATAGTGTTTAAAATTGTGATGAAAAAAAATTAAATAAAATTAAAAATATATTAACCATAACATCAGGGAATAAAAACATAGTTAAGCAACCAACTAAGAAAAAAAAACACCATGAAAGTTTATTTTATTTTTTGGGTGGGGGGAATGGAGAAAGGTTTCTGCTCTAGGCAACGATACAAAAATTAAAGAGCTAAGCTACACGTAACATGCAGTGATCAATAATGGGATGTGTGCTTATAAATAGCAATAAAGCAATATACTGTACACAACAGTGTGGTCATAGGTGAAAGCTATAAAAGTACAGCAGCACGTTGGGCTACGGGGGAAAATAAAGAGGAAAATAAAAGTCACATCGAATTATGCAGTGGTAAAAAAAACTCTACCAAATGGTGAACTCGTTTGTTTGCTATTTTATTACCGTATCATACTACATACATTTCCAATTATGGTTCTAGATAGTCAAAATGTGATGTGTACGTAAAAACCACCCAGACAGTCTACCCTCACCTTGGCCGGGTTAGCAGATGGAGCGAAATTGAAGAAGTCTGGGTGGGGAGCAATGATATATTCTACACAAATTTTGAAAAAAAGATGTGAAATAATTTAAAAGAAAAAGGTTGTCGATAATGAGTATGTGAATTGTCGAAGGTGGATAGGAATAAAAAAATATATAAAATTAAAAAAAAATGTGAGTAAGAGCAAAAGCAATGACAGTCGAACATATATACGTATATATGTTTGTGTATATGCCAATGAAGTACCATTAATAGAAAAAAACAAAAAACAGGTACTCTAAGAGTTGAGTTACCTGGAACAGTGAAAGTGCGTCTGGATTACAGCACAGAATTGGAATATGCACAAAATGTCTCAGTGGGTGTAATTGCTGCATTTGTGCAGCCGATAAAAATGTGTGAGAAAGAAGGGGGGAGTAAGCTCTGCTTTCCATATTTATACATAAGGAGAGAGTGAAGGAGGTGCTTCTACGGATTAGCATAGTAAGAGAGAAAGAGCAATATACAGAGTCAGATATTGAACAACAGAAGAGACAGAGGTGTAAGCCTGGTGAGAGAGAACATATTCTGCTCCTTTATTTCTAAGCATTCAGCAAGACCACATATGTTGGGTCTTCAGAAAAAGATTGGCAGAAATTGTATAGAAGAGAAGGAGTGGGAGATGGTTATGGAGGTATTTTGGGCATGTGGAGAAGGCTGGGGTTGAATCTAGGCATGGGCTGTAGAAAACCAGAGAAGACTTGGTAGGTGGGAAGAGGTTTTGCAAGATTGAAGATTGCCCCGAGAAAGGGGAACATTTTATGGACTTGGAGAAAGTGATGTGGGTTTTGTGAAAATGGAGAGGAGGACATGGAGAACAATTTAGAACATTGTAGACCTTTGGGAAACAATTGTAGGCCAGTTTGGAGAGTCTGATGAGAGTGTTGTAGGCCATTTTAAAGAGTCTATGGAATAGGACAGGGCAAGAATGTAAACTCTGAAGGGAGAATTGAGAGGGTCGAGGAGATTGGAGGGAGCCACCAAACAAGAGTAGTTGGCAGTGCAGAGGAATTAAGGGGAGAACATTGGTAGCATTGTGTTAGGTGATAGGAAGACTGGTGGACAGAGTGTTGTAGGAGAGTTGAGAATGTCAAGTAAGATTTTAGAGCGCTTGAAGGAAGAATTGGGGAAGATAGGGGATATTTAAACTATATTGTAGCGAGAAAGAGTGCAAAGGACTGTGGGAATGTGGAGCAGTTGGAGTAAATGAATGAGCTTTCCGGAAGTGTTGATTGTAGATTATCGAATGATTGTGGAGTGGGTGGATAATATTGCACAGACCCAGACTTGAATATTAGAATGGGCCTGTGGCAAAATGGAGAAGTTAGTATATTTTAGAGAGCCAGCAGCATTGACTAGGGAAAAATAAAGGCTATTGTTGGAGACTGGTTAGGTCTAGGAGAGTTTTAGTGTAGAGTAGAGGAATGTGAAAGAATAACGTAATAATTAGGATGGAGGAAGGGGGACATGAGAAGAGTGTGTATTGTCAAATCAGGATAGAAATAGCAATAGACAAATGACTAGATGCGATTCTATCACCTCTGCCCCTTATCATTTTTACTTCAATAGTTTTGTGAATACATCGTCTTTTAAGACCTGTGTTACACTTGTACTACTTACCATAAAAAGAACTCTCCAATAAACTCTCATACAGGAATAGACCATAATAAAGACAGGTCTAACCTAAATATGTCACATTGAATAAAATCTGGTTTGTAATCCATGGAAGACTTATAAAATATACTTGTAGTAAAAGACTCGAAACAAGTTGGGAGTTCTGTTTTAGGGACTAATTTTATTTTCTAAGTTATACTGTTGTATTGTAATCCATGTTTGCTAAATTTCTTTCTGTAGACTGATTACTTGAAGTGGGCACTTGACTAGGGCGTCTCTGACCTCGGGATCTGCTGAATATTATCTGCTATGTCTAAACTTAAATGCACATCGATCAGTTGATAAAGATTTCTTCCAATATAACTCCTTATTTTAAAAAAATATAGATTTTTTTTATACATTCCCATATTACTCAGCCGGCTGAATTGAATAGAATTTAGACTGTTTTGTCATAAAAATCAGCAGTTGGCCATCACAACACTAGAGTGATCAGGTATTGCCTTCAAATGGGCTTGGTTGGGTAAATTTATTTATTGCAGGCCAGAATAACGTGAGCGATACCCTGTAGGGCAGGGGTAAGCAAGCTTCGGCACTGCAGATGTTGTTGACTACACGTCCACTGATGCTTATTAAGGCTCATTAAGGCTTTAAGAGCACTTTGGGAGATGTAGTCCGAAACATCTGGAGTGTCAAGGTTGCCTACACCTGTTCTAAGCTATGCTATATACATATGTTTTCTATTTGAAAGGTAATGTTTGTCGCCATAGTCAGCTGTCCGGTTGCTTTCCCTGCCCACTGTATTAATTGTTGTAGTTTTACATTGACCAAAACAAAAAGTTGCTATGTGACGTGAAGGTTACACCACATCCAGGTGCCCTCTGATTACAAGCAGAGTCACTCTGCCACATTGTATCTTGTGGAAAACCCTAGTGGAACATCTACATTTTTCTTTGGTGCATCATGACTTTCTTCTTAAAAGATGTTACAAACATTGTGAATAGTATGGGGCAGCGAGGTAATGGACGCCTAACTGAGCTTGAGATACAAACCTGGACAGGTTATATTACAACTGCCATAGTCCTTTTCACTTCCTTATGCTTTCACTGAAACTTGTGCATCTTTGTATCTCCTAAACATTTTGCAGGATTACAACTTCCCTGAGAATTGCACTTCAACAAACCTGGATAGTTTTTGGCAGGAGGGTCATATTTTTTAGTTCTCACCCAGAGCTGTTACCGCTAAGCTGCCAATCATCTTTATATAGCTGCTTGAAGACCACTGCCTTTGCACAGTTCCTCTACCATATCCCTTGCTCTGGTAATTTAACTTTATTCATACACATGAGGATCCTGTAGGCTGTAGCTGGCTATTAACAGAGACGGAGACCAGAAATTCTAAATGAATTGACAACTAAATGTGCAATAAAGGAAGTTCAACCATTAGATCTTTCTTTACAGGAAGTGAGTAGGGAGGCTGTGTAAGTCACTGGCAGGGAGGTGTGGCTAGGGCTGCATGTACAAAGTGATTAAACTGCAAAATGACATAGATCTAGAGGGGCATGATCTATACACCAAAACCACTTAATAAAGCTAAAATTATTTTCATTGTGATGGCTTTAAAATATCTACCATCATTATACGTTTGTTATGTTGACCCCAGCAGTGACTCAGTAAGGCTAGCCAGTGAACTAGCAATATCAGAATGAAAGAAGAGGTGGTTTACTAATTTACTATCCTGGACAATCACTGAATTCTTAATTAAATGCTAACAGCTTGGAGACTGCATACCAGACACTCTATCTGGTCCTGTTCTTCACACAGTTCTCTGTCGGCTTAAAATATTGATTCTAAGAATGGAATTCTACCTTAAGGGCTACAGAATTGTTTCTTCATCACAAAATGTCCATGTTCTGGCTACTCTCTGGTACATGAACTTTGGACCTAGTTTTTTTTTTTTTTTGATTTTTTTTTTAATTTAGTATTTTTGTTGTGCAAAGAGTATAACAAACAGGCTTGAGGTACCCCAAAAGCATTCCTCAGGCTTAGCATCGCATTGTGTAGTGGGGAATAGATAGGACTTGCACATTTTATAATATTTTATTAGATTAAAGCGTGAAAATAAAGCGTGATAGTAAACCGTGAAAGCAAAAGCAGGAGAGATAGACATATCAGTTACACAGACTAATGCATGTCTCTTTGCTAGTATTTGAGTGAGTCCTTGTCGTTGCTTCGTGGACCCAGGTTGCGGGTTGCCATGCCAACCCCTTGATACGGTAAGTGATCAGTTATCCGACACCCCTGCAAGGTTTATTTCTCTGCTTGGGCTCAGCCCAGTTGGGGGGAAAATGCAGCATCATGGAGGTGAGGCACCACTCCGGCCCCTGTGCTGTGTGAGAGCTGGTACCTTTTGCCACGAGCCTGGGATCCATTTAGGTCCTTGTCTTCCCTGTCGGGACTGTGCGGTGGGTCCTGCGGTTGGTCGCTGTGTGTTGTCACTTATGCCTTGTGGCCCTGCACATGTGTGGCCGGTAATTGTGGGTTGTGGCCCTTGTTGCTCTCAGCCCAGGTGGGCATCTTGTGGGGATGGCTGAGGTGGGTGATAGCTTTGCGCCCTGTAGTGGTTTCCCAGGCCTCCTCTAAGTGCGCACGTGGTCCTGTTCAGTCGGGATAGGGGTAGACATAGCTGGTCCAATACGGGTCAGCAGCTTTCCCCAGTATCGGTCGAAAATATCGTCAAGAGTGTCTCTTACTTTATTGCTGGGGTCTGGCAGGTCAACCTTCTGTATTAGCGTGCCGCTTGAAACTGGGTCTGATGGTTGCCATTTTGGAGACCAACGTACCTGTGTAGCTTGTGTAGCCTGCAAGGTCCTCCGAGAGGTATGGGGCGTGGGGTGCTCTGTCTCTTTGGACCTAATTTGTGCACACTCCTGTGCCCAGGAGTTTTGCAGCCTCTATGACACTCAAAGCAACAGGCCTGGTGCAACAGTTTGCCATCCTGGTTATCTATCTCAGTAGATTTCATTCTTACGTACATCCCAATGTCATAACATCATACTGAAAGTAATAAACCATTTAACCAAGAAGAGATCACTTTGCCTGATACCAATATTTAAAGTAGGGATATTGTCTCTGTCCATGAAATTCTCACACTGGCTTGTGCACAAGAAACCATGTAGTATTCACACTGGATTTTCCTAGACAATACCTCATGTAGCTCATCTTCCACATATCTCTACGCTAGCCTGTGGTAGCCTTCCCCAGGAAACACGGACCTATTACTAGTTATATACACTGCCACAACACTAAAACCACCAGCCTTATATCATGTAGGTCCCCCACGTGCTGCCAAAACATCTGTGATGCATCGAGGCAAGGCTTCTACGAGACCTCAGAATGTGCCTTGGGGAATCTGGCATCTGAACATTAGTAGCATATCCTGCAAGTTGCGTGGTTGGGCCTCTGTGTATCGGATTTGTTATTCCAGCACATCCCACTGATGCTCTTTCGGATTGAGATCTGGGGAATTTGGAGGCCAAGAAAACACCTTGAACTCATGTTCCTCAAATCATTCCTGAATATTTTTTGCAGTGTGGCAGGGTGCACAATCCTGCTAAAAGAAGCCACTGTCATCAGGGAACATCATTGCCATGAAGGAGTGTACGTGGTCTGCAGCAATCAATAGGTAGGTTGTACGTATCAAAGTAACATCCACATGAATACCAGGACTCAAGGTTTCCCTGCAGAACTCTGCCAAGAGCATTACACTGTCTCTGCTGGTCTGCCTTCTTCCCATAGTGCATCATGCTGCGATCTCTTACCTAGTTAAGCGATGCACACACACCCGGCCATCCACCTGATCTAAAATAATCAGACCAGGAAACTTCTTCTATTGCTCCATGGTTCCATTCTGACGCTCATGTTCCCAATGAAGGTATTTTTGGCGGTGTACAGGTGTCATCATGGGCACTCTGACTGGTTTGCAGTTATGCAGTCCCATACGCAGCAAACTGTGATGCAGTTTGTGGTCTGACACCTACCACGGGCAGTATTAAATTTTTCAGCAATTTGAGCTACAGTAGCTCTTTTGTGTGATCTGACCAGACAGGTGAGCCTTGGGTGCCCATGACCCTGACGCAAATTCACTGCTTGTCTTTTCTTTCACCACTTTTGGTAGGAACTAACCACTGCATACCGGGAACACCCCACAAGACTTACCGTTTTGGAGAAGCTCTGACTTCGTCATCTAGCCATCAATGTTGGGTCCTTGTCAAAGTCACTCTGATCTTTTCGTTTGGACATTTTTTTTCCTGCTCCAACACATGTAACTCAAGAACTGACTGTTCACTTACTCCCTAATATATCACACCCCTTGACAGGTGCCACTTTAGCAATATAATCAATGTTGTTCACTTCACCTGTCAGTGGTTTCAATGTTGAGGCTGATCAGTGTAGTTCCATTGTTCTCCAGGTAATGGAACTCTAGGTAGCCATCAGCAGATTTGGCTGTGTCACCAATGCCATTACAAAGACTATCTTGTGGCTTTAAGCCAAGGTGTCATATGCGACCGGTCATCTATATTTACCTCGGCCAGTCCTCTATCAAGCTCTAGACCATTTCACTGCTCACTTGTCAATTTTGGGTCATCACTGGAGATACCCATTTCTGCACAGATCCTTCCTCCCCTGTGAGGTCTCCTCTCATTCCAGCCTTGAATGTTCGCCAAGTGAATTGCTTTCAACCTCCATATTCCGTGGCCATTATTGTTACTCCACTGGTTTTAGGTGTAGAACTGGATAATTTAATCTATTCCCCGCGCCATACCTGCCCTCCTAATCATCCATGTCCGTGTGTTGTAATGTGCGACCTTCCAGTCTGCGGCCTGTATCCTTAATCCTGTTTTTGACAAAGAAATCATCAAATCACTGCAAATGATCAGCAAAAAGAGGTAGCATTCTATCACCTGCTCCGTGTACTGTGACCCTAATCAGTATCATCTATAAAACCACTTGTACAGGGATGGTTAGAGGAGGAAGATGAATGAGAGAAAAGTATAACAGTGACACCAATACTGTGGCTGAATACTTAACTGCAGATTATCAAGATCTGCTCCGATAGTGCTGGGCTTATACTGAAATATACAGTGATCCCCCCCGACTGCAGATTATCAGGACAGGCTCAAATAGTGCTGGGCTTATACTGAAATACACGGTGACCCCCCCCTTCCCCCCCGACTGCAGATTAAGAGAGCAGGCTCAAATAGTGCTGGGTTTATACTGAAATATACGGTGATCCCCCCGACTGCAAATTACCAGGACTGGCTCAGATAGTGCTGGGCTTATGCTGAAATACACGGTGCTTCCCTCCGAATGCAGATTATCAGGACAGGCTCAGATAGTGCTGGGTTTATACTGAAATATACAGTGATCCCCATCCCGACTGCAGATTATTTATCAGGACAGGCTCAGACAGTGCTGGGTTTATATCTAATGTACAGCAACCCCCTAACTGCAGATTATCAGGACAGGCTCAGACAGTGCTGGGTTTGTATCTAATGTACAGCGACTCCCTTACTGCAGATTATCAAGACAGGTTTAGACAGTGCTGTGTTTAAATCTACTGTACAGAGTCTCCCTGACTGCAGATTATCGGGACAGGCTCAGACAGCGGGGGTTTATATCTAATGTAAAGCGACACCCTGACTGCAAACTATCAGGACAGGCTCTGACAATGCTGTGTTTGTATCTAATGTATAGCGACACCCTGACTGCACATTATCAGGACAGGCTCAGACGGTGCTGGGTTTTTATCTAACGTGTATTGCTGCACTGACTGAAGATGATTAGGACTGGTTCAGACAATGCTTTGTTTGTAGTGTAAATACATTGTTTCAAAGACCCTCACATTGATGAGCAGGTTAAAGAAAGTCAGTGCGGCGTTCTCTCATATCTACATCTGATCTGCACTCCTAATCAGATGCCTGTATGGCTTCCCGTAATGCCACCAGCATGTTAATCAAACCCTCTGTGGGGTTGGTGTTTATTGTATGAAGGATCTAGCTCTGCCGAGGGAAGCAGTCACTCCGTGTACTGAAATCCTCTATTAATATTTTATTACCATGAATCTGCAACTGTGTACAGACAATGGGCAGACAATGGGAGAGGGGGGGTGTGGGGAGAAGAGGGGGATCACCTTCATACTCAGTATACAGACAGTGTAATGTAGATAAGACACTGTATACAAAGACTATCTGTATGCAGCGTGTTTGCGGCTCTGTGTCTGTGCTTTGCAGGTAGCACAGAATGAGTCTAATAGTATTCTAAGGCTGGAGAGTTTGCAATCTAACAGGTGTGCAGATCCATGTCATTTACGCAGACATGTCTGTTACGACTGCAATACAGCAAGCAAAGGGGGCACTTTAACCCCTGCATGCCTTGGGCACGAATGCAACTCTCTGCTCTGTATTATAGTACATGTGATTGACACGTTCATTAGAAAGTCACATTAATTTGCAGAATCCGCTATCCATTCTGTTACACAGGATAGCCTGTAATGTGCTCTTATGTGCTTTGTATTTAATACATGTCTGTCTGTCTATCAATATAGGTGTGTTAGAATTATGTCTTGCCCACAGAGCTTACATGTAATCCCTTATTTTACTAGCGGTGGCGCAGTGGATGCGGTGCTGTGGATAGCTTTGGGTCCCCATGTAATAGAGTGTTATTCTACATGCGCTATGAACCAAGCATTAGTCCAGGCAGCTCAGGGGAGCACTCGCCCCCCTATAAATCCCTCTCACAGCCACTAAAACCTGCAGAGCCTGTCCTAGATCTTCCACCTCTGGCTCACATTACCGGGAAATCTATGGGCCTGTCAGCATGTTGTGTGAGCAGAGGATGGGCAGAACGCATGGACCAGTTGGTACCAATCTGCCATGCTTCACTAGTGTCCAACATGATTAACCTCTTACTAGGGTCTCTACATTCTGGTTCCACCTAGCTCTAGAACAACATTCATAAAGAAATGGAATCAGGGTACCTTTTAAGGAAAGCACCCCAAATACTCTACTTAATACCCAGGCTTGACTACCATAACTTGGTAATTAAATTATTTTCTTGAAATATTTGGCTCTCCTATTATTTGGATGGTCTGTCTATCTATCTATCTCTCTATCTCCTGTCTGTCTACCTATCGTTCAATCCTTGTCTAATCAATCTGTTTTCTTATATCCATCCTGGACTATTGTATTTGCAGAGCTACGCAGAGCTCTTCAGCAGTTATCTGGTTAACTTGATGTGGCGCGTCCAGGCTGCTGCTATAAAAAACTCACATCTGGGCGCTGCAAGCTAATTAGACAGCTAAATATTAATTAGCAGGCTATTAAGGAGACGCTGCAACCTAATGAACCTGTGATGGCTCATTTGCAGAGTGCTGATAGGTGGGTTATCAGACACAGGTTCCGGTAACAGGGCAGTGGTGGGGGAGGGAGTGGGGGATCTCTGCGTTTGGGGGCTCATTACAAGATGACAGAGAGAGAAAACCCTAACATATGGGTCATGGCAGGAGAAAGCAGGGTAACAATGAACCCAGATACATTTCACTTTCTTAATGACTAATTTTTTTTTTTTCATTATTGCAGCCCTGCTCTGTATACTTACCCATTTAATAAATGTTTTCTTAATTTTTCAAGACGTCTACCTGCAGCACTGCCCCACAATACTGGCTTTTGCCAGTACTTTTTCCCTTTCTCTCACACCTGCGGCCAGCTACCACTACTCCCCTTTCTTGTTGTCATCACCTGTTAAACCCCCCTTTCCTTCCCTTCTTTAATTCTTCTCCTCCTCTCCAAGTATTCAACCTAGCTCTTGCCCCTCATCTACCCCTTTTCTGTAATGAATACCCTACCCTACCCCTTATCTGCCACTAATACCCTACCCACCCCCTTGAATACCACTGGCGCCTCCCATCTTCTTCTTCTATCTAACCCCCTCATGTCCATCACTATTCCCACTGATCCTCAAAAACATGAATTTCCTTTTCTCCCTATATGACCTCAGTCACTCTTGCAGAAACGATTCTTTCTATGACCTGCAGACACCGTTCCTTCTTATTTCTCTTGCAGTGACTTCCCCTGCCTGTTCTGGTTATACAGACACCGCTGATCTCTTATTAATGTGCGAGGATACCAAGAGGATGCTAATTAGGTATCAATGACCGAAGCCCTGTATGTGGCAGAGAAAATCCATCTAATTTAAGGGCAACATTGTCTTCTGGCTCCCCTACATCTCATCCACTCATACTGAGGCCATATTATGCCCCCACATCATTTTGCATTGCCCCTGCCTTTTTCCTAAACTCTTCTATATTATTAAATATCCCCCCTTCTCCCCATAAGCAGCAGTTGTGACATTTTATTTTTTCCGTTGTATGCGGATTTCTGTAGACCAGGTTTCTTAAAGGCTGATTATCGAACTATTAACACTCCTAATCCTAAACCGTGTGTAGCTGAGACTCATGGGAGTTGTAGTTCACTGGTAGCTGAAGAGCCATCTTTTGGGAACCTCTGCTACAGAGCCTTTGCTTATAAGAAGCTGTGGAACCTCCAGCAATCCATCTTTCGTGGACCATATTCCTCATGATTTCCCTGTGATACTTAATACATTTATAAAAACTAACCGTGTAGATTAAAATATGCACGTATGTAAACAGTATCCCAGCCCCTTCCGGGATTACGTTATCCCAATATTCTCGTTCTATGTTTCACCTTCTTTCTCTACTGCTCTCCATGTTCTACCTTGCTCATTTTGTCTGTGTCACTCCCTCCCGCTCTTACTGGCAGTCCTTCTCAGTAATAGCATGTGAAGTCCCTGCATGGACCAGCTCCTGTCTCTGTTCTCCTGTCACATTGTTTTTTTCCCCTAAATCTCCCTGGATATGTAATTCCGTTGCTGTCTCTTCCAATCTTCCAGCGGCTGCTCTGAAGAATTCTCTTCATACTCTCTCTCTCCTCTCATACTCTCACCTCTCCTTCTGTCTTCTACATCTACAAAGCTTTCTATTCCCTCAGAGCTATGTTAAATACTGACGAAACTATATAACAGGTTGCAATAAATACATATGTATATATATATATTTATCTATCCTAAGAGGTAGCAGCACTCACGGGGTTAAAAGGTCCAATCTTTATTTCAAAACTTTAAAATCACGACCAACGTTTCAGTCCTGTATATAGGACTTTCATTTCCATTGTGATCCTGATGAAAGTCCTATATACAGGACTGAAACGATCGTGATTTTAAAGTTTTGAAATAAAGATTGGACCTTTTAACCCGTGAGTGCTGCTACCTCTTTGGATAAATGGATTTGAAAGCCCTGGCCAACCAGCACCCGACAACCAATTTTTTTGTTTATATATATGTATATATAGTACATACCAAAAGAGTTGTCATGGGGAAAAAGTGTGGATACATTGCTAAACACAAATACACACACCAGTCAAGCGTTTAGCAATGTATTATAATTATATTTATAGTATAATTATAATATTTTTTTTATTCTAACTTGGCAAACATGGGATGCTCGAGTGTGGCTTGGTTGTGATATGCTGCTACTGTTAAAAGATATGGAATCCCACCTTCAGCAAAATGTCTCGGCCCCTCGTTTATATTAACATATATATCAAGTGTGATCACCAGTTGCCTACCTGTTCTTCAATTGCACCTGCCTCATCACAACTCCAAACTTTACCGCCGCTCGTGTTTCTGTCTGACTAGCTACCCCCCCTTACGCCCATGCAGACTGTAACTTCAGTCTTAGACATCTTAGGTTGAGTGAACTGATTCTTAGGCGTAGACTTGCTGCATATCTCTTCTTAATGTTCTTCAATTAGTGCATGATACATTGTCCCTTATAAAATGCCTTTCTTGCCATTCTAGCAGTGGGTGAACTCCCTGCTTCAATACAGTTTGTGTAATTAGTTTTCTTTCAGACAACACAAGGTTCTGCTTCCACAAGGAATGACCATTGTGTCCATTAGTTACCCTCGTTGGCAAGTTAGGAAAGTCTCATTCTCACTTTTTAAGGTCTCTAGATAAGTCATTTTCCAAACCGCACACTCCAAGCTGTACCTCAACTGACATTTCTATTTTTTTTAAATTTCTTTTTACAATATTCGGTTGCTTTTAGCTGTACTTCTGTCAACCTACATTTATCACAGCATCTCTGCTCATCCACCAGTCACTGCCATAGCTAGCCAAGTTGAGTGAAGACAAAAGCCAAGGAGATATGTTTTGGCTTAACAAGTTCATAGAGAAGGGTATACATAATTCTGATTATCTTGGATCCCAAGCATCTCATAATGAGGAGGAAAAGGCAAATGAGCTATCATTCCAGAAAATAACACACAGGTCTTCTCGGAACTCCATACTGGTACATGCAAGGCAGGAGAAGAGCCCAACCTGAAGACAAGACATGAGGCAACAACTTAATGTGAATTCAAGGTTCAGGACACAAAAGAGGTGATACCTAAACCAAAGAGACTGGGAGATTGTTGGAGGACCGAGCTTTTGAATTGAATCCAGTCTTTGATACATATGCAACTGTTCTTGTTGGTTGCACCTCAAGGCAGCTATCAGTGGTTTATCAAAATACATACAAAACTGTGATTCAGAATTGCTTCCACAAATATTCCTAACAATGTGCCAGTGGGCGAGGGAAAACTGAGCACACTATGGGAGGCAGATAGAGCGCAGTTAAAATATCTTCAGATCAAGACATGGAGATCACTTCCTGGCATCTTTTTGTCAGTCCCACTTTCCCACTCATGGGATATAGGTGCACATCCACATATCTCCTCCCTCTAATATCAGTCTTATCGTTCCCCTATCCTTAAAAATAAAACAAAATAAACATACTGAGTGGCCTATTAGCCTAAAAACATGTAGATATCTTTTTCTTCACCTACATTTCTCTTCTTCTTTAAGGCAACTATCCATCTCTTTGATATTGATCCAAAATGTTTTACCACATGCTATAGACAAGACATGCCAACCTCACCCTATCTCTCCCTCATCTTTTCCTTATTCTGAAAGTTGTTCTTCCACCTACCTACTTTTCTCTCGGTCTTACGAAATCCGTCCTTCAAGCTGTAGACTTGATTATACCTCTGTCTGAGTTCTCCCCAACCTCTCCACTGTTTCAAGCACCCTTTTATGTATCCCACCAGAATACTCGGACTCCCCCAAAGCCATTTGCTCCTCTCCCCCCCTAACTGTAGACACAATTAGTTTTTTACAACCATCCTCGTTCTCTTTACGCTTAAGGTGTGCTCTCTTTGGTCTCTCTACTTCCCACACTGCAGGCTTTTATCTGTTCATCTAATTTCTCCTCCTTTATTTCTATCTCCCATTTATCCCATGCCGCAGGCAGTTATCCCTCCTTATTCTCTCACAATCTTTCTTTCATTATCTCCCTGTCTCCCCCCACCCCCCCAATGCTGCAGGCAAATCTCTCTCACCCTCTCTCTCTCTCCCTCCATGCTGCAGGCTGTTCCCCCTCTGCATGTATCAGCTTTTTACGGTTCTGTTGACAGATGGTGCTCTGCGGCCCTTGAAGGAAAACTAAATACTACAGCTAAGGAGCCAGAGACAAGAGGTGGGGGAGAGAAAGGAGGATGAGAGGAGGATAGGAGGGAGGAGAAGAGAATGTCAAAAACCAGAAGGGAGTGAGAGTAGAGGTAAATGAAAAACATACGGTGATGGATGGGCAGAGAAGAGAGGATTATTAAAAAGAGAAAGAAGACTCTGGACAGTGAGCATAAGCAGATATTCACGTGTGCTAGCAAGAAGACGTATGTAAGCCATGGAGATAACTATGTAGTCAGGATTATATATGGAAATACATGCCAAGTGTCCCGATTCTGACGGGATTGTCCAGTTTAAGAATGGGAATCTTCCTATAGCAAGACACAGAAAAATATAAAACGGACAGTTATATGGAGCTATAAAAGGAGATATAAGGACAGGATATAGGGAGCAATAGGAGTGGCTATATGGAGGTTATATGGGGGGACTAAATAGAGCAAAAGGCTGGGTTATTTGGGGCAACCAGGCTGTACAGATCGTTATACAGAACAGTTAGAAGAGTGAGCTTTAAGCAAGCTTTGTAATGTGGGTTATATATAGCAGTAGGATGCATTGTAATGAATTGTACCATAGAGATTTACAGAGAGATGCTATATAGGCCACTACAGGCGATTTATCGTATTAGCCCACGTAGAAATTTGCAGTGAGCAAAACTGCCTCTGTATTGTGTTAAGACAGCATTTTATGTTCCCGTTCAGCACTTTTAAAGATATTTTTTAATAACAATTTGTGCTGACATTTCAAAGTAGATGATTTTTGCTTTAGGGGAAATGACTAGCACATGTGGCAAATTCCAAAGATTTGTGGGCGACATCTTGACCTATTGATGGCCATCTAGGTAATTGACAAAAGCCACTTTGCACAAAGATGAACACTCCAGGGGGATCGGAGAGATGCACAGTACTAATTGGTGCATTCTGGTTGAGCCCCACGTTGTACTGCTACACTGTATCTGCTCACCTAAATACACCAGAAGCAAGCTGCAACAACAGCTATACAACTATGTCAGTGTGCTGTCCAACTGGTGTGTTGACATTAGCATGCCTTAACTTGTCCACTCTGGTTCTAGCAACTGGACTTTGTCATATGGAGTAAGACATGTGAGAAGTTGTCATGACCAGAGGGGAACAGACCATAGGGGCTGCTGTGTTTGCTCTGCGTATTAGGTTAAGTTAGGTTAGGCAGAAGTTGGTCAGGTAATTGTTTAGACCATTTTGGTCTGACCCAAAATGGCTGCACAGCCAGATAAAAAGTTAAATTTTCTAAAAAAAAATAAAAAAAATAAAATAAAATTAAAAAATCAATATACATCATTTAGAATAAAACCATTAAGCTTCATTACATGTAATAAACTTAAAAAAAACCAAAAAACCTTAAGTGAAAATTTGATGACATTTGTCCTTTAAGTGACTCAGCATCCCATCATGCCTTTAGTTCTTTCAGCTTCCTTTTTGAGCTTTTCAGCCTTCCCATTTGAATTTTAAACTCATGTGTCTCTCAGCCTCTCCATGTGCATCTTACCCTCCTCTGTGTCTCTCAGAAGAGAAATCCTGTGTATGTCAACCTGTCCTGTCTCTTGGCCTTCCTACCATGACATGGTTCATTTTCAACCTTAACTCTGTACCTTTTGGCCTTCTGCCTTTTCCTTTTCAGCCTTGTCGCTCTCACCATTTGTAAAGCTGTGGCTGATTGACCTTGCATGAATGCATTTGAGTTGACTGTTCCCACTTGGCCTACCAAAAAGTGCAATAGTCAGGTGTTCACTTTTAAATGTACAAGTGATGGTTCACGGGTCGCCATATTTTCACTGACTACCACTTTGATAAGCACTGCACTAATAAACAAAGCACAATACTCACAATGTGTTTTTCACAACATTCTGAAAAGCACATGCACATTCTCAAGTCAAACAAAGGGGAACACCGGGGTATAAAGGAATGACTGGCACATTGAGTCCACAGAGAAGCCAAATTTGGATGGTTTACTTGTTACAGACTACTGAGCTATATATATTCAATGGTAAAGAAAACATGAAATTAGTATAGAAATGGACACAATATACAGCGCAAACTCCATGGTTAGGCTGACCGCCCCTTGAAGGAGCCCCGACACATGGGGACAGCAGGGCCCACACAAGGGAAAATTATACTCACTCTAGATTTCAATACTGTTTCATTGCCTATCCTGTTTATATGAATCTCACAATTGTTAACCTTCATACGGAAAAGAGAATGCCATGTACTACCTTGTCAAACTATATTGTGACTTTACTTTGTTTCACAACAGGTGTTCTGTATGTCAATTAAAAATGCCTCTAAAACAATTGAAAATAAAGAATAAATAAAAAAATATAATACAATATGAGGAGATCAACTGTTACAAAGTTACATAGCTGAAAAAGAGACATGCGCCCATCAGCTTCAGCCTTTCTCCGATTTGTTTTTACTGTTGACCCAAAAGTAACAAACCGGGGAAAAATTCCTTCTTGACCCCCGAATGGCAGTCAGATATCTCCTTGGATCAAGAAGCTGTTACCAAATTAACAATTCTATCCCTGAATATTATATTTATGCAAGTATTTGTCCCATTGCTGTTTAAACATCTGTATAGTCTCTGATAAAGCCACCTCTTCAGGCATGATGTTAGAGGTTAGAGGAGATGTTGGAATCATGTGTCTCACAATAATAGTCATTACACCTAAAAGTCAGAAGATTTACTTAGGGTATCTGAAGATACCACATTTTGGTATCTGAAGGAATAGGGAGAAATGTATGTATCTATGTGTGTATATTCCATATATAGCAGCAGATTAAACTATAAATGACATCTGAGATATGCGATGTATATTGAATATGTGCCGTTTCCTTTTAGCTTTATTCACAGAGACCCCCCATGATGTTAGCGCTCATGCAGGAGAAGACGTGGAGATGGCCTGTTCCTTCCGGGGCAGCGGAGACATCCCGTACTCTCTGGAGATACAGTGGTGGTATATTCGCACCCACCGGGACTGGGCAAACAAGGAGACATGGGCAGATAGCCAGGTGAGAGTCCGTACTCCCAGGACTAGTTCAGTACAACCATACACTCCCCTGTACATTATTATTTGTTTAATTACAGGTTTAACATTACTGGGTAGCGTGTTATGTATTGATTTTTCTTTATATCATCTATCAATATAATGCTGTTTTCAAATTATTTTCCGTCCGTGACTATATTGGTAATCAAAGGATCCTATTACCATTGCATTCCCATTATGATTTCACTGCCCATTGTTAGCATACCAAAGTAATAGTTGTTAAGTCTAATTTTTGCAAAGACATATTGATTTTACCAATTCCCAGTAATGTGCAATTGAACCTGGCAGGATCCTTTCAGAATTCGGATATTGGCAAGTTTATTGTTGTCTTTGTTAAGTTGAAAAGATCTGCTAAACTTTGTAGATCTTGTGGCTACAGAATTTCACTACTGTGGACTAAAACCTGTCGCTGCTCAAATATAAGAATGCAGAACTGAAATTATATGAATGCAGAAAGGTGCAGTTTTGAACATTTTGACAAGTAATAACTTTGCAGAGTGTTAGCAAAGTTTATACAATAAGAAAAAAAAAACAGCAACAACAAAGCACTATTATAAACACAGATAGGAATACAAAATTAAATCCCTTCAAGGTAAATTCACATAATCCATCGGACAGTTCTCTTGTAAGCGTAGCTGTGACAGAACATGAAAAACCGGACCTCCTTTGTTGCCCCAACTCACATCATGTGGACATTAACAGCCTTAGGAAAGCTGAAATAATTTTTTTAGAACATCAAAAATCATAGTACATCCCAAAGTCCAAAGGTAGGCAAGAGGGGAGGAAAAAGGGGAGTTAAATAAAAGTTGAACTTGTCTTGTGCTGCAAGTGCATTTTCAGCATCTGCTAATAGGTGAATGCTTGTAATGTCACAAATTTTGGCTTAATGTCAAGGCTAAATACCCCAACATGCAAACCTAAAGCCTATGTTCCTATACTATTGGAAAAACATATTAACTGTCCTTCAGGTGGCTGGGCTTAACGTATGAAAGTATAGAATGCAGTCTGTAAGCAGACAAGAGTAGACAGAGAAAGATTGTGGTCAATGAGTACAGAGAATCAGAAGAACAGTTAAACAGGGCCAAAGTCAGGGATTCCAGTGGTCGGAACAGTTAGTCATCAGAGCCGAGTCAGTAACCTAATAGCACATGAAAGCGCAAAGAGGAGTGGTCAGGAAAACCCTTACATAGCCCTAAATCCTTCCCTATTGGTCTACTTTGATAATTATGCTAAAAAGTCTGTATCTTGCATTGTCTTAATAATGAGGACCAGTGTGTTGTCAAATATGTATACAAATATCAATGCGCATGAATTGAGTGCCAGTAGGAGTAGTATGCATCAGAAATGACCCCAGAACGACGGACAGCGTCAAAACACTGTGCTGTCTTCATGATAGGTAGCTTAAAATAGGGGCTCAGCTCTTCTCTGTACCCTATTTCATTCTTCTCTGGTTCTTTGCCCATCATCTTCACTATTTCCTTTCTTCAACATTTGTCTCCTTATCTTTGAACTCTCTGAAGACCTATCTTCTCTGAAGTCATCCAGCTCCAGAGTGTTCCTTAAAAGCTTATCTGGGGGAAATTCAGAAAAAAATTAGGAAAAATGTCATCTTATATTCAGGGGGTACCAGCTAGAGGTTAAACTCTCATCAGAGGCCCAGACTTGGAAGCCTTACTTTTATTACTTGCCCAAATTGTTTGTTTGTAAGAGTAAGCAGGATTTGTCTATGTTAAATTTACTGTTAACCTTCTTTAACCTAGTGAATTGACATAGACTTCTTGATTACTTATACAAATATTTTGAGACACTTCCTCATTTTCATGTCCTGGCTAGCGAGGGAGGGACTTAAATTTCAGGATTCCGTCATTTTTCTTTGTCGAGGGGCTTTGCATATTATACTCCCCATATAGTCCCCAGACATTGACAGTGCCACTTCAAAGAAGATTTATTTATTTTTTTGTAAATTATTCTTGTCACTCTTTTCTTATCAGACTTGTCCAAATATGCAACTCTATTGCGAAACAAATACAAATACTTGCTAGTAAATGTGATTGAATTTAACAAGCGAGAATTTTTTTTATAAATGTAAATGAATCCACTGTTTTCCCTCTGTTTGTTATCGTGTCCCATCTTTGTGTAAAACTCAGTAAATAGTATTTGATTATAAAAGAGTCAACAAATGTAATAGGAAGAGTACTTTTTATTGTAAAATAAATTACCATCTGCGCAATTACAGCTTTCAGTTTAACGTTTATCTTCCAAAATGTCACGGTGAAATTAAACTGTTTTTGAGAAAATACATATTTCGTGGATCTCTTCCCGATGATTCTAACATATGTTATTGAAATTCATATGAGCGTTTGATATAGGATTAACATGTGCTAACATCTGTGACTGGCACGGAATTATTGGGAATGTAGCTTGTGAAAACTCTAAGGCTTACACCAAAAATGTAAAGGTTGTAAAGTGCGTTCCTGTAGTGTACAACATCAATTCTCTTATTTTGTAAGGACTGTAGATTTTAAGCAGCACTTTGTAGGGCAAATTTTATAAAAAATTATATATATGTATATAACATACAAAATCCAGCACATTTACTCATTGCTAAACGGCAATTTTAAGGCACACAGAATGGAACAGTTTTTGTAAAAACACCTGATCCAGGTAAACATAATGAGTGTTTCTTTCCAGTATACGATCACATATTACATAAGTCTGCCACAACGTCAATGTACCCCATTCTTGGCAGGTTCTACTCTAGCAACCTAATGTCTGCTCTTGTGAGATTAATCCACTTACTTAGTAAATGATTCCGTGTGTGTGTATGTATATTATTATTATTATTGCCATTTATGTAGCGCCAACAGATTCCGTAGCGCTTTACAATATTTTGAGAGGGGGGATGTAACAATAAATAGGACAATTACAAGAAAATTTACAGGAACAATAGGTTGAAGAGGACCCTGCTCAAACGAGCTTACAGACTATAGGAGGTGGGGTATTAGAAACATTAGGACATGAAATATCAAATAGGAGTGAAGCAGAGCTGGAGGAGAGAGCAAAGCACTGCAGGGCCGCCATCAGGGGGTGACAACCGTGACTGTTGTCACGGGCCCGGCGGCCCTGGGGGGCCCGGACTGCTCTGGCAGTCCTGGGCCACACTTTCCCTTTCTGCACACATAGATAGCGAATATCGCTATCTATGTGTGCAGCTGCGGGCCCCCGGCTCCCTGCTCCCTGTTACCGCAGAGGGGGCCCAGCCAGGCAGCACACAGCTTCTCCTCCTCTCTTCTCATAACTCTCGCGAGACCCGCGGAGCGTTGCCATGGTAACCGGGTCTCGCGAGAGTTATGAGAAGAGAGGGGAAGCTGTGTGCTGCCTGGGCCCCCTCTGCGGTAACAGGGAGCCGGGGGGCCCCCCACCGGACCACCAGGGATGGAATCTCCCCCCTCCATGGACACAGGTAAGCAGGGAGGGGGGAGAAACATTTAATTAAATTAAAAAAATTAATGTTAAAATGCCCCTTCCTCCCCCTCACCCCAGATCACACACTAACAACACACACTGCATACAATAACACACACATACACTGCATACACTAACACACACATACACTGCATACACTAACACAACACACACACTGCATATAATAACACACACATACACTGCATACACTAACACAACACACACACTGCATACAATAACACACACATACACTGCATACACTAACACAACACACACACTGCATACACTAACACACACATACACTGCATTCACTAACACACACATACACTGCATTCACTAACACAACACACACTGCATACACTAACAACACACATTGCATACAATAACACACACATACACTGCATACACTAACACACACACTGCATACAATAACACAACACACACACTGCATACAATAACACACACATACTCTGCATTCACTAACACAACACACACTGCATACACTAACACAACACACACACTGCATACACTGACACACACATACACACACTGCATACACTAACACAACACACACTGCATACATTAACACACACACTGCATACACTAACACACACACACACACACTGAATACACTAACACAACACACTGCATACACTAACACACACACACTGCATACACTAACACACACTGCATACACTAACGCAACACACACTGCATCCGCTACACTAACACACACTCTGCATCCGCTACACTAACACACACTCTGCATCCGCTACACACTAACACACTCTCTGCATTCACTACACATTAACACTGCATTCACTACACTAACACACACTCTGCATCCGCTACATACTAACACACTCTCTGCATTCGCTACATACTAACACACTCTCTGCATTCACTACAAATTTACACACACTATGCATTCACTGCACTAACACACACACTACATTCATTACACTGACGCACTCTGCATTCACTACACACTAACACACACTCTGCATTCACACTAAACTATGCACACACTCTGGATTCACTATACTGACACACACTCTGCATTCACTACACTAACATACACTCTGCATTAACTGAACACACAGCATCCACTACACAAACATCCTGTATTCACAGTACACACACTACATCCACCACAAATTGAAACACTCTGCATTCACTATACACAGACACTGCGTCTAATACACACACTACAGACACTGCATCCACTAAACACATTTCATCTAGTACATACAAACACTACATCCACTACACAAACACACACTACATCACTGTACACACACTACATCCACTACTCAAAAACACTCTGCGTTCACTATACACACTGCATCTGCTACACAAACACACACTCTGCATTCATTGCACAAACAGTATCTAATACACACAAACACTACATCCATTACACACATTCTAATTCACTTCCACTATACACACACCACATTCAGTCCTGCATCATTGTGAGCGGACTAGGTAGGGCGTGGGCGGGCCCGCGAGGAGGGTGGGGGGGCCCAGACCTTGTGCTTTGTCATGGGCCCCAAATTTTCTGATGGCGGCCCTGAAGCACTGTCCCATAGGAGAGAGCAGGAGACAGGTATGTAAGGTAGAGATTACTCTGGGAGGCCATAAGCTTTCCTGAAGAGATGGGTTTTAAGGCCCTTCTTAAATGATTGAAGACTAGGGGAGAGTCTGATGGCAGTAGGCAAGCTATTCCATAGGAGAGGAGCCGCCCGCGAGAGGTCCTGCAAGCGCGAGTTGGCCGTACGGGTGCGAGCAGCGGTCAGGAGGTGGTCACGGGCAGAGCGGAGGGTACGAGGAGGGGCATATCTATGGATTAGTGAAGAGATATAAGTGGGGCTAGAATTGTTCAGTGCTTTAAATGTATATCTATCTATCTATCTATCTATCTAATCTCTATCTATCTATCTATAATAAAATTCAAGGACACTTGTAAAGAGAATGAATTTATTATGGTTTCAGCAAGATACTAGTCAATGCTTTTTTTTAAATTTTATTTTTATATATATAACCAGTAGTATGGTGACTATAGTGTAATACAGTATAAACAATATAACTTTGCATAAAGTTGCACTCACCGGAAGTATATGTGTATTAGCATGTTAGAAGTGCCTCCCCTGATGATGTGGGGGGCTAAAACACACTGCCCGTTCTGGTCACTTTCACCAATGATGCACGAGGACTCCAGCACGTATATGGCAAAATACATGTTTATTAAAATACATAAAAACAGCAGGAAAAAGGTCCAACACGTTTCCCCCTATTCGGGCTTCCTTAGGGGCCACAATCAAAATAACATTTATTTGCGTTCTAAAACACACCCCTTTTCTATACTTATAAATCGTGTTAAATTGGATCTGTCTTGTTAGTTATTTGTGGTTTTTGTTTTTTATATGGGCAATGTTTACAATATACATATATAGTTATAGGTATTTGACTTTTAGTGATTTGGTTATTCCTAAGGCAAGTTATCCATACATTAGACATGTTTAAAGGGACACAATAGGCACCCTGACCACTTCAGCTCATTGAAGTGGTCTGGGTGCATTGTCCCAGGTCGCTTAACCCTACAAAGGTAATTATTGCAGTTTTTAATAAACTGCAATATATACCTTGAGCGTTAACTCCACCTCTACTGACTGTCTACCAGACAGCCACTAGGGGGACTTCCGGGTCTTTAGGCAACTTTTGGTTGCCTAACTGACGCTGGATGTCCTCACGCTATGCATTTGCATTCTACATATATATTTATATGAAGTCTGAACCAGTGCCGCCAGATGTTGACAGAAAGGGTTTTTACCCACGAGGGAGGGGGGCACTATAGGGAGCTATAGTGCCAGGAAACCAACTTTGTTCCTGGCACTATAGTTCCCTTTTAATTATAGCTGAAGTCTTTATATGTTTGTGATTGGAAAACACATTTGGGAATTTGGGGATGTATGGACATATAGGATCAGAGATTTGTGTGTTTGTTAACATGGAAATGTAGTTGCATTGAGGAAAGCTGTAACTTTTTTTCTCTGAAATGTTCAATTCCCTTGTTAAATCTCCACAATTCCTAGTTTAATAATAATCTCTTCTACTTCTTCCCTCTCTTCCCCCTTAGCTCCCCCACCCCCAAAATCTGTCTTCTTTAACAAAACCTTTCTGTCTCTCACCGCTGCCTCTTCAGATGGACTTTCTATAAGTTGTCTTGTATTTCAGAATCTTCTTTGATGTTTCCTTCTCTGTCATCTTCTGCTTCCACGCTCCAGCTCTCTGTAACCCTCATACTTTTTCTTTTATGTTCATTTTCTTAGATGTTTTTTTTTGTAAGGGGTTAATTATAACCTGGTTGCCCATCTGTAATGTACGCTTCTCCGCGAGTCGCATACATCGGTCTAAAGAACACCAAAGAAATACGCTGCTAGCAGCTAGGTAGATCCTGAAAACAAATTCTCAAGGGGAAACTGCTTTATTCCGAGTACACAGGTGGAAGAATTCACACGTCGGCTGTTCTCGTGCGTTAGAATGTTGTGACTGAGTATGTAGCAGGCGACTAGTGACATAAATCACTGGGGGAGATTAGCAGAAAGTCCCAAAACAAATCACTAGCTATTTAACCGATAGGACGATTTTGGTTAAGTAAAACAAATGTAGGTTTTATTTTATTAAAAATCCATTTTGTAATGTTTAATATTCATCTTAGAAGCATGTTGACCGTTTTTGAGACGTTCCACTATTAATCCCGCAAGGATAACTCATTTTACTCTAGAATGCCTGATGGGAGATGCAGTTCAAAGAAGCAGGTGTCCCTGAAGATGTCTTAGTGAATCTCTTTAGTGTGTTAAGGGAAAGAGAATTAACAGCGAGCAGGTGGATTAAGATTTGCTAAAATACCTTTAAGAAATACACACCTGTATGTGGACCTACCCTGTGTGAGTGAATAGGGATCGTTTGTGTTGTTCCTAGTGCTGTGTTCATCATCACTGCCAAGCAAATAAACCCATGAATCAGTGATGTATAATCAAAAAATAATACCAAACCAAGATGTTACAAGCACAACTTAAACCCTAGCTTATATTCAAGGACTTGAGATAACGTGCACATAAACTTTTTTTTCTTCCACAGTGATCCTGAAATTTATTTTCCAGAGCTGCCCAATAGTGATAGGAGTTTGAGCTCAAGTTTAATTTAGGTACATAGTTTTTTTTATTTTTTATAATTTTTTATTTTTGTAGTGCTTTACAGATTTCACATATAAACATAGACATTGCAAAAGGTATTAACACATCCAGTACAGAGCATCACATGTCTGATTCATAGCACTATTTTTAAAGTAATGTGGTTTCATCAAGAGTTAAACTTCTGTGTCAGTTACAGGTTACGACATATGAGGTACGGATACAGATAAACATACTGACATTTTTGTGGGTTTTTGGGTCGCAAGCTTAGCCAAGATAGGTGTGAAGGCAGGTTACCACCAGGTAGAGTGTAATATACTGGGCAGTCGTCAGCAGAAGGCATGAAAATAAAAATAACATTTACTTTAACATTAACTGAGGAGATACACGCTTATCCGTAAATGCAGCCTAAGTGACCTCTGATGTGGCTAACAGTGGTACAATACACGTTGTGTGTCTTGTTTCTTATATGTTGTCTGAAACTGGGGTCGCTGCTGGCTCTGGCAATGAGGAAGATAGGAAAAAGCAGCCTGTTCTGAGACATGAGGTGAGTCCCTGTAATGCACCTAAGAGGCCCGCTGAGTCCCAAAGTCCCGCCATAGGCCACAGTGTGTACAGACCGTTGTTGACAGGCTTCCCGGCTGTTGGATGGTTATAGTCGCAGTACTTTCCAACCCACGGTGTCCAGGTGCAGGCTGCAGTATAGTGGAGTTGGTGCATGGAGATGACTTCCCTGAGTGCACTTCCAGTGTTGGTCTCTGGTGTCGGTTTGAGGACCGGTGGTCACGCGCACTCAGTCGGAGTAGGCACTGAGTTAGCACCTAGGGATTGCCACTGCAGTGTGAGTAGGTGTAATAAATGCAGGCTGCTGTGGTTCTTGCCTGTCTTCAAGCTTATTACAGGAGTGTTCACTTTGAATGACGAGAGCCATCTGAGAATCCCCACGATGTCAGCTCGGATTGTGAAGTTTACGAGCACTGCTGCAGCGTGCCACAGAGGGTTCATCCTTGGTGGCCAGTGGGATCGCTACGCCGCCGTCAGCCATTTTAGTGAGGCCGTGTGGGAGCCTTTTGCTTTCGGCGTTGAGCCGCCCAGGTGGGTTGCTGAGGTGGTAGTTTGCCTGGTGGGGACCAGGATAACCCCCGCTGGTCCAAAGGGGGGGTGAACGGGGCCAGGTGGGCCTCAGGTATGTTGCAGTTTAGTATCATCTGGGGCAGAAAGCGAGGCAGCGGCCGTCTGCCCCACTCTCCTCCTGGGTAGGCCTCAGTCCTCAAGCCCCAGAGCATCTCTCCAGAACCCAGAATCACCCGATTTCAGGTGCTCCAGCTGAACCGGGACACTCCAGGACCTTTTACTAAGGGCTTTCAGTGTGTTGCAAGCAGAGTAAGGTAAGTATTTACCCGATATTTGCTGGATTTCTCAGGAGCCACAGTGACTTGCAGCCTGCAAGCATGGCCGCCTGGCCCTTAATTTAGGTAAATAGTTACGTAGCTGGATGGAGACATATGTCCATCAAGTTCAGCCAAAAAAACTGAGTTTGAAGTGCTTCCAGTTTTGCCACAAACTAGGAAAAAAAATCCTTCTTGACCCCAGAAAAGTAGTCAGATATCTTCATGGATCAAGAAACTATTATCTTACAAATTAAAAATGGTATCCCTGAATATTAGGTTTTTGCAAGTATTCATCCAATTGATGTTTAAACATCTATATAGACTCTGATAAAACCACCTCTTCAGGCAGAGAATTCCATTTCCTTGTTCTTGCTTTAAAAAACCTTTCCTTTGTCTTAGACTAAATCTCCTTTCTTCCAGTCTAAATGCGTAACCTTGTGTCCTATATATAGTCCTGTTTCTGAATATGCCATGCATATATTTTTGTAATTTGCCATAAAATCTTCACCTGACATCATACCTAGAAGTGTACGCACCAGTCGCTGATCCAGAACTTGATCTTCGTTAGGGCACTGTTGTATGCTGTGCCAGATTTTAGCTTTATGAAACGGGCTTATGCATTTGCACATAAAACATACTGATATCCATATACAGACAGACATTGGAAGTACACAACCACACTAAAATACACATATATACAACATGGTTACAAGCAGTTCAGTGGTCATTCATTTAAACTCTGCTGTCTTGACCTTTCGGTGGGAACTTTTGCTCCAGTGCCCCGTGTGGATCCACCACTGGTGTGCATTTGTGTTATTTTTCCTTACGTCTTTGTTCTCTGGGGAATCTTTTCACACTGTGATTAAAAAATATGTAGAGATTTCAGAAATAATAGAGAATAGTGATGCAGTAAGCTAGTAGAGGGTTTTAAATATTATACACCAAATATTTCATTGCTTACTAAGCAGATATAAATGTGCTTAGTTTACAGAAAACTGGCAAAACAAAATTTCAAAAAATAACCCGTGCTTCTCAACCTTGTTTGTGTTAGCATCAAAAGCAGTACAAGCTGTTGCCTTTTTTTTTTCTTTAGCGTTAGAATAGGTGTAATTAGTCCCCCCGTCAATTAATGCACAAATAGCAAGTATACCAGATAGGAACTAGCTCTCTTCAACAAATTCACCAATAGCAATATCAGGATTGTAAAGAAAGAGAAGACCAATAATTCATATTATTCACATCAGGGGATTCAATTTTTCTAAAAAAAATATAGTATGGATTGCATGCTTTTATTGCATTTATTATAGATCGGGGTAGGCAACCGTTATCTCATCAGATGTTGTGGACCACATCTCCCATTAATGCTCTCACAGCCATAATGCGGGCAAAGCATCAGGGGAGATGTAATTCACAACATCTGGAGTGCCAAAGATTGCCTGCCCCTGATCTACAGTGTTTGTTAGTCCGCCCGTTGTAAAGGGCTGCGGAATTTGTTGGCGCTACATAAATAATAATAATGGCGCTTTGGTCGGTACATGGAGCTCCCTTGGATCCTTGGTATTGTTGGATGCCTCGCCACCTCCTCTGTCACCCTCCAAAAGGTGCCCTGATTGGTGGTTCTGGGACCGAGAGGGCCCTCGTCAAAGGTTACCGGACCGCTGCAGGTCTGCGATCCAATCAAGAGTAGCAGAAGGTTTGCAGATAGCTCCTTGTCAGGCGCACAATACCTCAGGTTCTCCCAGGCCAGCCTATGAATGCTTTGAGACCACAGAGAGGGAGCGCTGGAATGGGAGACATGGGCTGGAGGTGTAAATGATTGTGAAATAGTCCTTTTGGAGGAAGGTGGTGGGTGGGACAGATGTACCAGTCCTAACTGACCAGGTGGTCTGTCAAATAAAGTCTACCCTAGAAATGGAAAGGAGCAGATAAGTGCTTTTTTACCACCTAAAGTCTCCCAACAGTCACAATTTTGGTGAAAAAGTCCTGATTTTGGCATTCTGTCCTACCGTCCCGATTTTGTTCTCTGGTTTTTCACATCCGGGGACCCTTGGGAATGGTCACCAGCCAGCACATTAGATGCTTTCACATTTTACTGAGGTACTAGGACCCTGCAGATAGCAGCGCTATTTGCATGGAGTTCCCCGAATGGGGCCACTCCAGAGTTCTGGAGTTTACCTGACATGCCCCTTCTGTGGGAGTGCCTGACCCATTTTCTAGTGTGCCAAAATTGTGAGGTTACACTACCTGGTAAGGCTGCAAATCTCAAGTTTTACGCTACTAGCCAGGCCTAAAATTTACTGCAAATAAAAAATTTCTCCTGCAGTGCGACCACTGGCAATTGACAGCAAGAGTAGCCTTTGTGGACGTAAGTGTAACAGTTTTCATGAGAATACATTCTATGATTAAAGTAGCTAACAGACCTTTGTAAAAAAAATATTAATACTTAGCTTCTATTTGATCCGAATAAAAGTCTATTCATAGGAACATCATATGTGTAGATGAAAGCCAGCGGGCAGCTTCCAAAAAAAGCTTGAAGTGTTTAACGCCTCTCAGAGTGCTTACTCGGAAGCAGACAGTTGTCTAGATTTGTAATACGGATTAGATTTGTATCGTTTAGTTCCCCTTCCTTTTTCTTTATTTTTTTCTTTAGCAAAAGCAACCTCCTTGCTTTCAAATGCAATTCTTTTCCTTCTTAAAATGTTTAGTTGTTGTTGTGCCTCGTACATACATAGTTGTTAACCTCATACATACATAGCTGAGAGCAAATTCCCATAAAGTTGCTAAAGAATTCTATGTCTCAGGACAACTATAGGTGTCCTTCACTTTGAGCATGCCAAGCTCTTAGTTGGCCTCACAGCTTTCAATTTAAAGAAGACTGTTGTAGTTATTAAAGACTAGAAGCACTGCAGGTTAAAGAAATTGGTCCTGTGGTCGAGATCCTTCTCAAGAGATTGAAGGCGATGGACCTATAGTACCGTACAATAGAGGAGGAAGGTACAGTGAAGATGTGGAAATTTTACCATGGACAGGTAAGAAGACATCGGGAATGAAGCTACTTGTGTGCTGTACCTATATTTGTTTTCCAAAGGCTTTCTGTCCAGTCAATGAGAAAATACTAAGTTGGGGCTATTGTCATTTCGTTCCATGACTTCTTTATTTTAATTCCTGAATCATTGGAAATGTACCCAGGTATCGAAAGCAATAATACCAACATAGAGAAAAAAAAGAACAGGTTCAAGTAAAAATGGATATATATGAACCAAATACTGTCCTAAAAATTCACCGCTTCTGCTCACTGGTAAATATCTTTATTTGTTTATGAGATAGATAGCTCGGTTGGTTATTTCACCAATAGCAGAACCTACTCAAGCCCTGGGGTACTGGTCTATTTATGGAGTGGTCAACTGAGCCTTTACCCCTGATCTTACATAATAAGTATCGCTGCACACATTTGTATCGTTCGGGAGCGTTCTGGAAAAAGTGAAAAATATTGCTGTATCCTTCGTAGTAAAACATTTTTTGTTATTATTTTGGGCCTGGATTAACTTGTCCTAAAGCAATTATGCCTACATACTAGAAACGAGTATACCTAACAAACATTGCTTGGGCAGCCACTGGAGCTACAAATTCCCGTACCCAATGTAGCTATTAGATGTTATCAAGTGTAAAATTAGGACATGTCCCATTTCACGGACAATTAATATTTTTTCATATCATGTTAATTTAGCTTATATTTGGTATGTACTGCAGCAAACGAAACACAAACCCAAAGTGGGAAATTAATATATGTTACATTGAGTGCTTAGTCATCTTACACCATGACTGGTATGACTGCTGATCCAGAACCCACTAGTGCCTGGCATCAGTCTGCTGTTGGGGTGTTTACTCTTAAGGTAGTTCTTCCATGATTTTTCCATGAGTCCAAACGCAGTCGGGCTACTGCCATCAGCCCTTAGCAGTCTGCGACTCCCCAAGTCGAATCGGCGTATCAGATATCTTTTAAAACTGTGCTGGCTCTTGAATAGCAAATGCTGTGACAAAAGAGAAGAACAAATACACAAAGCAAAAACAATGCCACTTCTTAACGAAAACAATGAGCGGGGAGACAAGTCAGACTCTCTCAACTTATTCTTCGCTGACTGGTAAGTCTCCATTCTATCCTCCCTGATATAAAGGCTACCTCAATTTTGCAACGTTGTATCTCCTATTGTCCAGCACTCAAGTTGGTTGTCAGCGGTCTTTTTCCCCCCTCCCTAGGAGTCCAGGGTAATTCTTTTCTGCAGTATTATGGAAAATATCCCTAAAATAAAATATTTGGAGCGACCATCTTGGGAAGGTCACAAGGACATCTATAGAAAATATCGCTATCCTCCATGTTGAACGTTGCAAGATCGATCTGGAACTCCCAAATATGGGCAAGGGGCTGGTTCCGTTCTTAATTTAACACATGTATATTGTTTTTAATGTGATTGTGCTATAAAAGAATTTTCTTTTCATTTGTTATACCATATGCACCTTGCTTTATATTACTTTTTGTTTAATGAAAGTTATTTTACTTATTTCATCTGGTTCCTGAATTACTACTCAGATGAATATCATCACCTTCTGGGGGACCCGAACTCACCTTTGTACCTGCATCTGATTGATGAAAACACCATTACAGTTTAGAGCCGACTTATATAGGCTCTAAATATTGTGAGTGCTCCAAATTATTTTAACTTTTTATTCTGTATGTACATACTGTCCTATGATGGCCATTTATATTTACAGTGTTTAGGTATTTTACAACAATACCAAGAAAATCATCTGCCATTGTGTGCGCAATCACCCTGTTTCTGTATCCAATTGTAAAATATACACAGTGATCCGTCATAGGTAAAGAACCAGTAGGGGCCTGGGTCTGGTACCCTTTATGGCCCGGCATGGGTATAGTGCTATTACTGGACTGGCATGGGTAAAATACCAGTGATGAAATGCGTAATGTGCCACTGATGATCTTGCATGGTTAAGGAATGTGGAATAGTAACTAAAATGACAGGTACTGTAAGAAGTAAATCTGTATCTCATCCAGATCTGGGTTTGGGAATAAAGGCTCCTATTCACATCTATAGTTTAATGGATCATCAAGAAAAACCCAAGGTTAGATTTAAACTGCCCTTATCGGGTAAGATTATTGAATTTAAGATTTTGTACGTATGTGGAAATCCATGAAAAGGATTAATCTTCCTAACTGACTTCCATTGGCACAAACCGAGCAACGTCCAATAGTTCCATCCTGAATGGAATGCTTTGCCATGCGCGCAAGAGCCAAACACCAAAGATTTTACAGACAGATGCTGAAGGATGGTACAAAAAATGATATTAATTCATCTAGAAGTCAAAGGAAACTTTGGCTGGCCCTGTGGCCGCTCAACATACAATCCAAACGCCAAAGGCAAGAAACAAAGTCTGCCAGACTGATTAACCATGTGTGGCAAATAACATAGACCTAGAGTGTTATCCTCGCTTCAATAAAAAGAAGGGGGAAAAAAAATAATCTATTTTTATCTTGTTTTTAAACAAAGTCGAAATATAAGCCACTGACAAATTACTGAAGTGAGAAGAATCTTCATGGGTTCCTCTCCGGTTCCAGAAACATAACACATTAAAAAAGAATTTGCTAAAATAATTCTCACTCCACAACCTGTCTAGCTCCGATACTCCGTTCTACTCCTAGCTGTCGTTCTATTTCATTATTTGGCAACACGTTTCAATTTGTAATAAAGCTAATCACTAATCTCGCTTTCGGCGCCAAGCCCAATTAATTATGGGATCTCATTTGACGTAAAGCTTTAAAGAATTTTACTGTTTTTTTTTTGGCTTTTCTTTAATTATTTTTAGATCAATCAAAATATCATTGTTTATTGTTTCACACTTTGCAGAGAATGCTAAGATGATATGAACACGTATCAAAGAAATTAATCATCGGAATGTAGGGATATAAATTAATATGATATATTTAGCCATTTATTAATCTGAGACATAAAAGGTTCTATTTGGGTTCATTTGTTTTGATAAATAACTGTGGCTTGAAACGTGCTTGATTTTGGAAACATGTTAAGGTTAAGGCAGAATTAGTGGACAGGTATCTCTTAATCTGTTGCTGAACTTTAAATTAAATACTTCTTTAAATGATGTCTTCTAAGAGATATCTTCTGATAATTAGATGACTGCTTATCTACTGATTTTCTCGTTATCGTAACGAATACTGGATACCAGCAGAATGCAACTGCAGTACATCAATCAATATGGTGAAAAAAAGACGAACGACGAACAATAATAAATCTCGGTTCTCTATATATTGCATTTTACCTTGCCTTCACTAAAAATTCAATATACATTTTTCTGAATGGACATATATGTATTTAGAAGTTGTTTAAACAGAAAGAATACAGTGAGAATTCATTTTGTCCAGGGATGCTCAACCGGTTCAGTATAACTATAATAAATATAATATTAAATATCTTGAGAAGTAACAGATCCCTTTTAATCAGAGGTCGATAAAAGCTAAAACAGATGCAGAATAAATATCTTATAACACCATATTGTTAACACTAGCGGTACACTGCCAGATAACGATCTTGAGCAGAAGTTCTGACACTTTTTTTTTTTTTATTAAATGAAGAGAGTGGGAAAGAAAAAATTTAAACACAGGGAGAAAAAGGTAGCTGTTAGGACAGAAAAGTGAGACCCAAGACAAAAGAAAGAGTCTCAATGGCCCTGGCCCCATTGGGGAAAAACCCTCCGTCTGTGTACAGAGCCATTCGGACTGCGAAATCCAGACACTGTTTGTGCTATTTATCCATGTCTGGATTTTGCAGTTCTGGTGCCGAATGGGCCTGAATTTTGTCCGGATTCCAGTCAGCTAGACAGCTGAAACCTAGATCCAAACGCTTCAAATCCAGTCCCTATCAAGTAAGAGGGGGGCATGGTCCCACAACTGTGCCCCCTACTAGTGATCAACTAATTTTATGCCAGGGAACACCTAACATGCTCACCCCAGGTGCCACCCATTAGCAGCTAATGGGGGCATTATTAATAGTATATGGGGGACCTAAGGTCCCCCATTCAAGCCACAACCCATGGGCGGTTGTGGAGGCTCTAAGTAATTATACAAGTGGGGGGTGAACAGTACCAATTAGTGGCATGGTCCATCCCTCTGCCAGCTTGCACATAATTGCCCCTTGTGTTGCTGGGAGTTTTTTTTTTTTTTTTTACTATTTGCAAATAGTTCTTCAAATTATAAATTCACTTGGGATGCATTCGATTCCGAATTTTGTTAATATCGGTGCTTTGTGAATCCTCCTAATCCCATGCTTTTTATAACATTCGGATGCAAAAGCACTGACTTTCATGCAGACACCGAATGCATCTGTGTAATTACTGCAGATTAGCTCGGCTCAACTGAATTCCGACCGCCTTTAGTAAATATAAAAACTGCCATTATGGTTTGTAATTTGGTCATTTTTACCAGATTTTGTGTGAATGTTTAGTGGATGACCCTGTTTGAATGCAGTAGAGGGTAGAGAGAATCATGGGATTTGTAGTCTAGCAACATCAGGGGGGAGGGTGGGGATGAAGCAAAGTTTTAGATGCATGGCATAGAGTTATGCTTACATCCCTCCTGTTTTGATATAACAGAGCACTTTTGCTGACTTTATAAGAACCTTGAACCTTTTACACCTCTGGTGTGACTTTGCTGTGTAGCTGTAAGAAAAATGTAATTGCATTATAAACCTTGTTCTATAAACATCTACAGTAAAAGCAAAGTAAGTCCCAGCTGGCTGTTGGTTGACTGTGACGTCACCCCAGCCAATAGCCAATGGAGAGTTGCGTCTGTTGGCTTCCGGGCTTCACAGCACAAAATTGAGAGAGAATATTGAAAATATTGCAAGATACAAGAAACCTTCCTTATTGATTTTGGTAAATTCTGCAGATGTTTTCTGCTACGATTATCTCTAAGCTATTCATTCTTTTATTTATTTATTTTCTTTTAACTGTGTAGGAGATTAAAATGCATTGCAGTTATTACTTAAAGGAACACTATAGTGTTAGAAATACAAACATGGATTCATGACAACATAGTGTTTTAACTATTTAGGTGACCATCCGTCCCCCCTCCGTCCCCCCCTCTGATTGCATGGGAAATGTCAGTTTACTTGCCTTTTTTCCCACGCGGCACTGATCTTGCCCGTAGCAGGTCCGCCTCCATGGCTGAGATCATCAGTCTTGATCATCTCAGCCAATCCAATAGTTTCCCAAAGGAAAGCACTGGGAGTCTATTGCGCCTGTGCATCTCTATGCATTCAGTGCCTCCATGCAGTGCGTGGAGACGCTGAATGCCAGTGTTGCACAATGTGCAGCACTGGACTAGGAAGCACCCCATAGTGGCCATCTGAGTGACTGTCACTAGAGGTGTTACTAACCAGCAATGTAAACACTGCCTTTTCTCTGAAAAGACAGTGTTTACAGTGCTACGACTGCAGAGTCAGGCTGTAGACACCAGAACAACTACCTTAAACTGTAGTGATTCTGGTGACTATAGCGTCCATTTAAGGCTGATTTTGCCTCTATAAATAGTTTTCTTCTTTTGGTTGGAGGATTATTTTATGAAGCTGTCGGTAGACAAAAGCTTCCAGGAGAACAAGGGAACAGAATAAAATAATAACCTTTAGGAAATCTTTTTCTTTTCAGTACCATATGCCCCCCAGGTATGTACAGGCCATGCGACTTGGCCATTTTAAGAAGTAAAACCAGACACAGTCTCATGGCTAAGTAAAAATTAGTTGTAAGTCATGCTTTTACTTTGTACTTAAAAACAAAAATATATATATTTTTTTATTTGTGTACCTGTTACATACAAGACTGTTCTGGCACAACCTGGCATTTGATGCAAAGTTGAAATATCCCATGATTCACAACTTAGGTCCATGACAATGCATGCATGCACTGATCAACAAGGTAAATATAATACGAGCACACATACATGTTCTGATCATCTTCAGAGAATGGAAGCACAGACTGGCAGAATGTTCTGTGAAGTCAGGTATACTTTTTTATGCCAAAGGCAGTTCAAGGAGGAACTGTCAACAACAAGAAGGCTACAGCTCACCTTTAAGATATGGTTCCTTGTGAAATGACTCCGCTGTGACTTGAAGCGTATGTATAAATCTCAGGAGTCAAACCACATGCTCCCCTGGACAACTGACCTTACATCCGTACTAGACACTCGATGACAACCTCACATTATCACATCCCTGACCCGACCCCAACATCTCATTGTGTTGTTCCATCTCAAGCTTCCCTGCTAGAGTCAAGAGTACACATACAGTACAGATAACCTTATGAATGCATTCAGAGCTTAGATCAATGTGGCAGATTCTGAAGGGCTGAGCGCGCACGCTGCAGTAAGCTTTCAAAACAGTCTTCAGGCTTTTTCTCTAGGAAATCCACACGATGGTGTACAGATGCCAGTGTGTGACTGATGGGTTGATTTGCAGTAACGATAGACTGATCCTGTCACTCTGATTACGTATTATTCCATTCCGCTCTCATACACTCGGCAATGTAAATTGAGAATAGTTTGCAGGGGCAAAAAAAAACAAAAAAACATGGGGATTGGCCTGTGTGATTCCAAAGATCAAACATCCAAAAGACTGTTTTGATTGACATCGACTCACACAATATTAATTAAATAACACAAAAAGCATCCTTCATTCTGAAGGATATGTCAGCCAGATAAATTATAGATTTCAAATCATCACGAATGCCCGTAATAATTGTATAATAGTTAATATTTAACTGTGGATACGTGGTCGAGTGATGACGTAGCATGCTGCACGCTGCTACTCTAACGGGTTTAGGAGCCGGGCGAAGAACGATGGAGGGAGAACGCCACGGCTTCTGATGTGGGTATCTGGATCTAGGGTGGATGGCAGTGGGATAAAAAACTTTCTAAAGAAGACTTCTCCTGGAAAAAAAACCTGAAATGTTTCTGCAGGGCTAAAGAGCAAGCTTGAGGGCTGGAGAACCCGAGAGTCTCGAGCGGGGCAGTAGGAGGGCGAGACAAACGCCGACAGGATGGGACGAAGGGCTGTCTGCTTGCAATGACATTGGGGAGCTAGTGCTGTGGACAATGCTGGACCCTGCATGGTGAAAATAACTTTATACAACCAGCAGATTTGATCTCAAGAAAGGGGTCCCCTGCTTTACAGGAGAATAAAAATGAACCATTGGAGAAACATTTATCCTTTTTTTCACCCCAACGCCAGAAAACAGGGGATCAAAGTAACTCATTGGATGAAACAACAAAGAGTGGGGAACAAAAAGAGCAGAAAAGGCTGAGACTGCAATTGAGCCCCAAAGGGTGACGGTAGATCTGCATAACAGTGCTCGGGAAATACAATTTATAAAGATCAGAAATGAAATTTAACACTTTTCAGAAGAGTTTAAAAAGGATTTATTCAACATCAATGGCAAAGTAATAGAAAATTCGGAAACAAATGGGACAAGGTTCGACACAGAACCAGAATGATATTGATCAATTAAAGGAACACTATAGTCACCTAAATTACTTTAGCTAAATAAAGCAGTTTTAGTATATAGATTTCCCTGCAATTTCACTGCTCAATTCATTGTCATTTAGGAGTTAAATCACTTTGTTTCTGTTTATGCAGCCCTTGTCACACTTCCCCTGACTATGATTGACAGAGCCTGCATGAAAACAAAACTGGTTTCACTTTCAAACAGATGTAATTTACCTTAAATAATTGTATCTAAATCTCTAAATTGAACTTTAATCACATACAGGAGGCTCTTGCAGGGTCTAGCAAGCTATTAACATAGCAGGGGATAAGAAAATCTTAATTAAACAGAACTTGCAATAAAGAAAGCCTAAATAGGGCTCTCTTTACAGGAAGTGTTTATGGAAGGCTGTGCAAGTCACATGCAGGGAGGTGTGACTAGGGTTCATAAACAAAGGGATTTAACTCCTAAATGGCAGAGGATTGAGCAGTGAGGCTGCAGGGGCATGTTCTATACACCAAAACTGCTTCATTAAGCTAAAGTTGTTCAGGTGACTATACTGTCCCTTTAAAAAGTAAAATTGCTCAAATGGAACAAAAACACGCAGACCTGGAATACAGGTCACGCCGCAACAACTTAAAAGTAAGGAATATTCCAGAAGAAGTTCCCACAGAAAAACGTGAAGAATTAAAAACATTTTTTGCCAGTATGAATATAAAAAACGAGAGACGTGGTCCTTTAATGGAACGATGGCATAGAATATCCAAACCTAAACATCTGTCTACAAATATCCCCAGGGACGTCATGATCTGCTGTTCGTCATTTTAAATGAAACTAGCCATAACAAATTCATTTAGAGAAGGAAAACTTCATGCTCCTCATGAAAAAATAACCGTTTACTCGGATTTATTGATATAAACAAGAACCAAAAAAAATCCTACGCAAAATATACAGAAATATTAAGAGCCAACAACATCCAATACAGATGGGGATTACATGTAAGACTATGGCTTTATAAAGATTCAAGAACATATGCAATTGACGCCCCAGAAAAGCTGAAATATTGGCTGCAAGAGAGACATATGATCCTAGAAGCTGATGGCCAATAATCAAGAAAATGGAAGTGATAGGAAGGAAAATGTGAATGAACATTAAGAGACACAGAATATTAGTTTATATCTATATACTAAGAAGAAGATGATGAAGACAGAGGAAGGGGATGAGAAGAAAGAAGAGGAAGATATATATATATATATATTTTAAATTATATTCCTGTTTGGCAAAGGAAGAGGCAGGGAGGGAGTAGGGGGAGCGGAAATGATGAAGGGTAAAAGATTTATATACATAATATGAAGCTGAAGGTGGATTGAAATCGTTAATTGGGTTTTTTGTAGATACGACACATTTATAGATACACATGAAACACTAGAGGATAGTTGAAAGGTGTAAGAGAAGGGAAAAAGTAAGAGAAAAGAAATGAAAGAGAAAATAGATAGGAAGATTATGGTAATTAAAAAGGGGAAAATAAGAAATTTTGAGTTTTTATAAAATTGATATATTTCACACTAAGATTCTAACCCACGAAACACTACAAGTAATACAAAACTATGCACAAATATAGAAGAGAATAGTATTTAGGAACACTATGAAGCAAAAGAAGTTGATGTATAATTATTAAGATAAAAAGGTAATACACACTGTGATTAAGAATTGTAAATAGAGAACAACATTTTGAAAAAGAAGTAATAATAACGACAAGTTTATTTGGTGTACTTGTAATTAATGCTATGAGATTCTAATTTATATATATATATATATATATATATTTAAGATTGAAATCTTTCCAATATTATAAGAGCAATAAAGCGGATAAGATGTTAACTAACAAATTGAAAAATATTCAAAAAACTAAATCTACATCTAAAATCATTTATAATAATGAGACTCTCTAATCCCCTGACAAAATAGCTAAAGCTTTTGAAAAATATTATAGTAGTTTCTACAGTATCAATCTTAAGGATCCCCTACAAAATGCCGATTTGTATTTTCAAGAGAAGGAATTTAAAAAACGAACTCCTGCACAACTAGAAAAACTTAATGAACCCTTCACACTGAAAGAGATCATAGATATAATTGATCATTCAAAATCTAATAAAGCACCAGGACCTGATGGTCCAACAGCCCTGTTTTATACATTATTTTAAAAAGAAATGGCGCCTTACCTAAAGATTACTTTTAAAGAGTTTGCAGAAGGAAGTCTTCCAGAAGATCTTTTAAGAGGGAATATAGTCACTATCTTAAAACAAGAGAAAAATCCTTGTGATGTTACGAGCTACAGATCTATTTCTATTTTAAATGAAGTTCTAAAATTGTACGCTGGTATTGTGGAAAATAAACTTAAATCTGTTATAACTAACTTAATACATATAGATCAGGGATTTATTCCAGGACAATCATCAACAAGCCATATACGAACATTGTCAAATATCGTTGAGATCACTGTGTATAAGGGTCCCAATGCTGGCCCTGTCATTGGATGCTGAAAATGTATTTGACAGGGTCAGCTGGGATTTCCTTTCAAATACCTTAAAAGCTTTTGGCTTTATGGGTAGGTTCCACCAAGCCATAATGGCTCTATATTCGAACCCTACATTAAAAGTAATTGGCCAGGGTATTTTCTCCAACCCATTTAAATTGAATAATGGTACTAGACAAGGCTGTCCGCTTTCTCCTCTTCTTTATGTCATAACCACTGAGGTATTGGCCTCCGAGATAAGAAATAACAACAAAATAAAAGGTTTTAAAGATGAAGTGGAAATTAAAATAAAGTTGTATGCTGACGATGTACTCATTGTGCTGGAAGATCCAGTAAATTTAATCAATGAACTAATGGAGGTGATACAAAGATATAGCCGATTTTCAAATTACAAACTAAACACCTCTAAAACAACAGCGCTCTCCTTTTTTTTTAACACCTCAGATGAAAGTAGAGATTTTGGATAAGTTTGATTTCCTTTGGACAAATGAGCATTTTTCCTATTTAGGATTAAAAATTTCAGCAAACCCGCAAAAACGGATGGAGATTAACTTGCTCCCCCTGATAAGGGAAGTTAATATTAAGCTAAATACCTGGACAAAAAAAGAACTATCATGGTGGGGGAAGATTAATACTATAAAATTGTATGTCTTACCTAAAATAACATATATCTCAAAGCTGGATCAACTGATTACAGTCTTCTTTTACTAAATTCATATGTTAAAAAAAAAAAAAAGACATAGAATTAGTGCCAAATTATTGTAAAAGAAACTAGAAGATGGAGGATTAGGGATTCCATCACTGACAAGGTTGGTTCAGGCTACTTTTTAAATTTATTTTATTAAAATTCTTTATTTTTCATTGTGTGTGAGGTAACATAAATTCTTACAAAGCCACAACGGCATATGCAAGAATGTTGAAAACACAAAGTTTCACGTATATGGCATGAGAGTGAAAGCACAGTTGTTGTTTTTTAGGAAAAAGTAGTTAAACTAATTAAAGACAATTTGATTAATGCTGTCGATTGTAAAGGTTCTCTTTGAGATGTCCACGCTTAATTTCTAATATGTGGTAAACAATACTATAAATTCGTTGCTGTAAATCAGTGATGAATCAGGGTGCCTCTAAAACTGAGTGTATAAGCGACAGGCTTAATGGGAATAAACAGGCAATATTTTCAGGCCACTTTTTTTAACATATGCTATACTAACCTTTCAGGAGCTATCTCAGGAAGAAAGCTGGTACAAACTTGAAAGTAAGAGAATTTGCCCTTATAAAAATATTATAATTAGAAAATCCCCTTTTTGGGGAAAATGTTTTCCTTTGAATCATATATTGAAAAATTGGTTTGTAATAAAACGGAAATTAGATATGGAAGAAAATATTTTTCCATCTTTCAAAATTGAATTACTAAACGATTTATTACTTGACAATCTACTCACATGGTCTGAAAAATGTATTAAAACCGTTGAAGATGTAATTATATCAGGAAAATGTAGAACTTTCAGCGACTTAAAAATTACTTCAGATTTTTTTGATTATATGAAAGTAAGATCATATATAATGAAAAGACTAAAACTATCTTATGAAGAAAATTGAAAACATTTTGATAAAATTATTAATTCAACGGACACTAAAAAACTAATTTCTAAAACCATTCTTTTGCTATATAAAATGGAAAATAAATATTTCCCAACAGCGATATCGAAATGGAGCAAAGATTTGGGTTTACAGATCTCCCGTAAAGAGTGGTGTAGATCAATCCAGTTTTAAATAAAAATCTGAATGAGCTACACTTTTACATTTAGCTCCTAAAAAGATGAATAAAAGATATCCTAACCATTCTTCTGGATGCTGGAGATGTGGGGGTATTTACATATTTGGTGGGAGTGTTCGATTATCAAAGAACTATGGCAGGATGTCGGAAGAAAGATAAACAAAATACTAAATAGCACAATATCCCTAAGACCAGATCTGATTTTTCTACATATTAATATATCCAGTATAAAAAATAAAAAAATAAAAGGATTTAATCTTGTTAATCCACATGTTGACAGCAGCTAAATTAACTATAGCTAGAAATTGGAAAAGCCCATTAAAACCTGACTGGTGTTTAATTAAATATCAATTATGTCATCAACTAATTATGGAAAAACATATTCCGACTCCTAACAAAATACTTGGATATACTGTTTTTTGGGATGAATCAATAAGAAAAATCAGTATGCTATAATGAAAACCTTATAAATCTAAGGGAAGTCTAGGAAAAATGCACAAAACTCTCCCCTCTCTTTCCCCAATCCCCTCGATCAAGAGCTATTTTTTTTCTTTTTTGTGATGTTTTTGTGTATGGTATCATCTTTAGGAAATATAGATGTAGTGAAGTAAATCTGTGCACGGTATTGCACTGTAGATATGTCTAACATTACGTACTAGTTTAGTTATGTATGTTTGATCAAAGAAAGGAAAGGGAAAGGAAAAGAGAAGGAATGGGGAGGAAAAGGTAAAAAAAAAAAGAGAGGAAAAAAAAGAAAAGAAAAAGTAAATTCTCCAAACAGGGAAGGGCCCAGGTCCGGATGGACTCATTGATTTAAAAAAAATTATATATTTTTATTGTTTGAATCAACTGTCTCACTACTGTTGCATAGATAATACATCGTAGTAAGGGATCAGATCCCCTTTCTTTCTGAAATGTTTCAAGCATTAACAACACCAATTCCCAAACCAGATAAAGATCTTCATTTTGTCTGAAACTACTGGCCTATATTGTTACTGAACATCGATAAGATTTTCTCCAGGATCCTAGCAGTTAGACCCAAAAATTGATCATTCCCAAGTTAACACATTTAGATCAACCAGGCTTTATAATAAACAGAATGGGAAGAGATAATGTCTTGAAGTTATAAAATAATGTTCAAGGAATTAAAAACAACTCAATTCTTGTCACCGTTATAGCTTAAGTTGCCTTTGATAGAGTAAACTGTGCATTTCTGTCAAAGTTCTCATTTGGAAATAAGGGAATTTTTTATGATTGAATCATGTGTTTATATACATATGGCCTTAAATCAGTTTATGTAGATCAACCACAGGTGCGTATCTTCTTGTCTGGTGGAAAGGTGTTAGGAGAAAAGATCTATAGGAAAAAACATTACACTTCCTTTCGTCAATTTTTAATTGTGAAAATAGCGAAATCTCGAGAGGCTGTCTTACTTCATCTTAAATGGACCTCTATGTCTTCTTTGAATAAATCGATCATAAACCCATCTATTTCTAGCAACAAAGAACGTCATTTCAAAACAATGGAAAATGGCTATGAGTTTAAAAACCAACTTCTATTTCAGGTTAATATGAAACCAAGTCTTAGTGGATTAAGTGAAAACCATAAAAATGCATCCTTACGGGACGTGTGTCTGGAAACAAATCAATGATAGATTATACATATTCCGATATGGCGATACTCAATAGACTTGTAGAACTAAGAAAAACACAGTAGTAAATATAAATGTACCATATATAATCCTGGAAAGGATCCTAAATATTTTCGAAAACCTGGATGCAATACAGGTACAATATATCGGTATCCATTTCAGTCTGTTATAGCCAATAAGTTGGCTGTTCGATACATTGTAGTTTCCTTTTCTCTCTCGCCACCATATAGAAATCATTTTATGTCCGGTGTTATGTCTTATAATTTGGTTTGTGTTTCATGTTCTGTCTCATACTCAGTTCATTGTTAAAAATACTCAAACAAAATATTATTAAGTATTATGTGACCAACCTTATATTTATTACGGCTATTTTACTAATGTATGGTTTTGTCCTTTGTGTTTTATATTTATAAAAAAATAAAAAAATATTTAACTGTGGATAAAGGAATATTGTCTTTCTCTTATGTGTTGAAGCAAGAGGGAGCGACATATAATTAACAGCCCCGAAGGAACGATACTTAATAACAATGATTGGTAAATTTGTATAGAATTCGTAAATTAGGATATTTATTTACATACATCCCATTGGCTACGCCGTGTTCTATTGTAGAACACCATCAAGCATTCTAGTGCAGGACCTGATCTTGTTGTTTGCGCTGTGCGTTAAAGGTAAAATGCCAGGGTGGTTTATCATGATGTACTGGTTGTCACACTACGGGCACTCCACAGGGAGCACTAGCTAGGTACATTTTCCTAAATGCAATCACTGAATGTTTGACTGTTGCTGTTGCGTCACCTTTGACTGAATTTACCTGGAAACAACTGGAGACGTTGGCAGGGTGTAAACCCTTTTGTGAGAGTCTTGCATGCCCGCAGTGGTTATTTAATTTCTTAGGGGTTTTTGCCACTAAGGTCAAGGCTCGATGAACCATGGATGAGTGTTGAATTAGTTTTGCTACATTTGGGATTAGCATTGGAAATAAAGCGGCTGACATTCCCCATGCCCAGTTTTGTACCATTTTAGCTTGATCCATAACCAGAGGAGTACAGGACCACGACTGCCAATACAAAGCTTAAAAACTGTTTTAATCCATCTAGTAGATACGTATCATTTACTCCACTTATACACAGTAGTGTGTATACATGCCAATACTCCATATATAGAGCACTGAGAATACCCACCATTGCTTCACATATACAATGCAGTGAGTATGTGTACTCCACATATACAGAGCAGGGCGTATACATGCCATTACTCCACATATACGGAGCAGGGCGTATACATGCCATTACTCCACATATATGGAGCAATGAGGATACTCACCATTACTACTCCACGTACACAGAGCAGTGAATATACACACCATTATTACTTTATTCAAAGATGGGTAGTGATAAGAGAGCTTTATAAATGTCTTGTACTTGGATTGAGGAGGCAGGAGAAGAACAGATCATCAAACGGTGGTCTCCGTTCCATCATCATCATCATCATATCATTAGATACATATACATATAAATGTATACAGGCACATATCAATGTTTGTGTATGCATGACATTATTAGCTGACACTTAATAAAAAATTAAAAACAAAATCACAATTTCTCTTTTTCTTTTTTCTGTCTTCAGCTGAAAAGTCTTTCTGGAACTCCAGAGAAAGGAGCCACCAAGATAAGTGTAAGTAATAAATGCGGCTGCATTACCTGTGATTGAGGGTGGTATAAGGTGTTGCTGGTTAAGTAACTTGTGCTGCAATTAAAAAAATATATCAGAAATGTCTGGGGTAGAGAGGACTTACTAGTTTTTTTTTTTTTAAAACTCCATTAACGACGAGAGTCAGGAGCAACACAAGTAGAATGGACTTCTATTATTTGCTTGCATTGCCTGTTCCATGAATGAGGGGTTCGTAGACATAAATGTGGCATGGAAGTGAGCAGGGTTCCGAGTTCTAAGTGTAGCTTCTCGAGGGAACTAACAAATGCACTTTGCCATTGAGCCAGTTGGATCCTCGTCCACATGCCCAGGTCTTAATAGTCTACAAGGAACTGATCTTGTAAATGCCTAGATCTCGACCTGTACAAGGGCAAGAAAATTGATCTAAAGACCATTCTGCTAGTGAGTAACGCAAGCAAGGCCATCTGATTATTTCTTATTTTTGGTCTGGAGAGGTTGAGAAAAAATAAATAAAGGGTGGTGGAAAGAACAGTTGGGAGGGAGGTGAGGTAGATATATATTTCTTACACCAGACTATTATTCTTCGTAAATTCCTTTCTGTGGTTGCCCAACCATTTGAAGTTGTATTTTAAATCAATATTAAATGATTGCTATAGTCATTATACTCCTTAACACACACACCAAGCTTGTTGATTTCATTTACTCTAGAAAACATAAATAAGGGGATGGATTAGGAGGTGTGGAACGAGAAATTAGACATGAATCTGATTTACACTCTTGTCCTTCTGACCCAGGAAAGCTTTACACTTAACCGAATGGAAAATACCAAGAGACGATCAATTTGGAAGGAAAGCTAATTAGTAGGAGCAACTGTTTCAATTGATCTTGTTCAGTAGACAAGAAGTGATAATTCTTCGAGTCAAAAAATGAGGAAACATATACATATATATATATATGTATAAAAATAATTGTACTAACATTAAAAGGAATGTCCATCAAGTAAATTATTTGGCAAACTGTACCGTAATATGGTGCATAGCGACCAGCGTTTTGTAATTTATGCACTATTATCACAAAGTAAGATACCCTTAGAATGATATTTCTAATATAACAGAACTCTTTTAGTAGACTCTTCCATCTCATTTTAATAGACCAGTTTAAATCCATAGCATGCAAGAAGTGCAAAATAGCTGACTTATTCAATAAAATGTTGAACTGAAAATAATGCTGGCTTGGGAACTTTCCCATTACTTGACCTAAAATTGGTAAATCATTTTGAATTTCTAGCTGTTCACATTTAGGGAATAACTTTGCATTACTGTAAGAGCACGGTAGGAGATCATACCTCTGTTTAATTAAAGAGTCGTATATAACGTGTCTCCAGAAGAAACTATAATCAGTAGCAATGTGTAGTTTGGTTTTTTAGGTACGTAGATCAAAAGTATTTACTAAGCACCTCTTTATTATTTTGCTTCCAGAAACATGCAGGGGCCTATCCATTAAACAGCTAATTGAAAGCCAAATTTGCAAAATGCACAATAAAATAGAGAGAACAATTAGCTTATCTTTTCTTTTTGGACTGGGTATTTATGACTGCTTATGTTCTCGTCATATGTTTGAAAGATAAATGTTTATATCATACCAGCTGTTATGAGAAAATCACATATTGAAAGCAGGACTTTAAAAAAGAAATAAAAAAAAATTAAAATGTTGCATTGCCCCAATAGTGATATATTGCATGACAGTCTAAGGTTAATCCATTCTTCTCATACCCGTTATCAAAGTATTACATGAATGTAGGGTTTCTCCAATCTGATCCTTGAATTTACTCTCGCCAGCCAACATGTAGATTACAAGGGTCGCACCAGTCCTCAGCAATGCCCTACCTCCTGCTGTTAGACTGCCTCCTACTCCATTGAAAACACAACTCTTTAGGAAAGCTTACCATCTTCCTGAGTGACGCTTCTCATATGACAATCTTTCCACATTTCATCGATGTCCATAGTCCATTTGTTTCCCTTCTGCCACACATCGATACACCAGTTTTACTAATTTTGACACAGACATCCTATCCATTAATCCCTCCTCTTCTCTTATATGTTGGTCTTCTTTTTGTATTCCATTACCCCTAGTTCCTAGATTGTAAGCTCATCTTAGCAAGGCATTCTTCACCTTTTGTCTGTATCAATATAATTTTGTATGTCAATACTTGTCAAATATCCCCGCTATTAGAATTGTAAATTGTTGGCGCTATATAAAGGCTAACAATAACTGCTACCAAACTGTGAGCATTGGCTATACTGCAGAGCGGAATTCCTCATGCTGGTTGGCTGGGGTTAAATACTCCCAATTCTAAATTATTCTGAAGATATTGATAAAACTAGGATGGCTGGTGATGCATTTAGAACTGGTTAGAGACGAATAGATCATTTTTAATTCTACAACCACACATTAAACAAGGTTTGGTTACAGATCGCTGTTAAGTGCCTCAACCAATATTTGATTTAGGTTTGAGATATTTTGGGATGTATTCACTAAAGCAAGTCTTAAAGAAGAACCTCCCCTCCCCCCCACTAAGTTGGAATAACTAATAATTTGTTTAAGTCAATTCTAGTCTATATTAACCCTTCATTCTCTGTGCAGGTGGTGAAGGTTTTCGGCAGCAATATTTCACACAAGCTGCGCCTGTCCAATGTGAAGATCGCTGATGAGGGGACGTACGAGTGCCGCGTGCTGGATTACAGTGATGGGAAAGGGCGCCAGCATCGGGTGAAGGCATTCCTGCGTGTGGAGGCAGAGCTGGGCCGCCGCAACGGAGGGTCTCACCGCATGCAGGATACCAGCCCCCACCGTCACTTCCCAGGCAAGGAGCTGAAGAAGCGATCAGTGGTGCCCTGTGATCAATGCCAGCTGTAGACTGCCACTGGATTTCTCCAGCCCCACACCTCCCAATGTACAGGAGTGCATGAAAGGGATCCACCTTTCCCCATCTCAACGTCCCAGGTTAAAACCTTCCCACCTCCCAGCAGGGTGGTGAATGGAACTCTGTGACTTTAAAAGACTCATGTGTGAGTTAACCCTTTTGTTGTTGAGGAGCATTAAAGATGCCCTGACAGACTGGTATTGATACAGACAAATGAAAGGGGCTCAATGTGCCCATTTTCTGTCACTCATACTTGGAACCAACTACATCTTCTTCCAATTCACTGGTCACACTGCAGCAGCTGCAGTTACTAAAAGGGTCAAACACTAATTTCAAAGACTGTGCACTTTCACACTAATTCCCCCCATTACTCTTGCAAACAATATGTATTCTGCTCATATGTTCTTCCTGACGCAAGGAATTATGGGAAGTGTAGTCATTTACTTAGCTTTGTACAGGACTGCAGCTCTTATAATGCCTGTGGGAAAAACATTTATACATAAAAAAAAAAAAACATATTTGACTGTGGCCACACTGACATCCACAAACTAAAACAAAATTCTTTGAGATGCTTTGGCCTAGACCAAGAAAGTAAACAAGACATAAGAGTTTATTAATTTCCCTCAAATATTGGCCTCCCCATCACAAATTTGAAGTGTCATCCTCCATTTTTAGAGGGCCAGAGCCTCACTAGATTTTTACCTGTGGTGACATGACATCACTACTCACCAGTTAATATATATTAATTTAAAAAGTTGAATTATTATGATTCTATGGCATAAGGTTTGATATTCCAACTATAATGCCAGTGCAGTGAGCCTAAATTAAGTCCCCAAGTATCAAGCAATGGTCCAGGAGTTCAGTGTTAACCAAATTTGATTCCAATAGGTTAAAAAAAGAACCTGAAACAGGCCATAGCTGGCTCATAAAGACCACCGCACTAATATGTCTGGCATACTTTTCCCATAATCCTATTGGCGGGCACAGAATGTTATAAATTGAAATTCAGCAGCTGAATGGCTGTGGGTTAAAGGTTAATGGAGGAGATTTTGCAGGGTTTGTGCAATAAACATTGAATGTAGCAATTTAGAATTTTGGCTTAAAAAGCAGATGTGAAGAATGGCACTATGTAAATGAGCCAGTCTCTCTTATCTTGCAGTTTTTTTTTTACCCAAACAAAAATAAATGATTCCCTGGAGTTTAGTAATAATATTGTTGTGGAAAGCAAACGTATTGTTTCTCCACATTTTCATCCAGCCCTTTTCTGTCACAGTAGCACTCTACCAGACACACTCTGGGTAAATTTTAATAGTTGGAGTGGTGATCTCACGATGTATCGCACACTCACAGCGTTAAAGATACATGTTCCCCATTTGATCTCGTGAACTTTTATTAATACTAACTTCTTGTACAGCCAGGCTGGTGAGCAAAATATCTGCTTCTTAAAAGCCCAACATCATGTGCAAAAATGTGTAAAAAAATAAAATAAACAACAAAACAACAAACTATAAGTTGATAGTAGAACTGCAAACAAACGTATGGATCGAGAGGAGAACGAACATTCTCGTATGCAAATACGCTTCTACAGTAGTGAATGGTTAATTTACATTCTATTCTATATCATGCCACAGGGTTATAGAAAACCCATTTTTTTTTTTTTAAATCCATCTTTCCTCGTGATCTCTAAAATTTGTTTGTGATTCTAGTAGATGAATGTATAGATTATATTCTGTTCTTCATAGCTGTCCCAAATTGGCTTTTGGTAACAAATTCCATGTAAAGGGGGTTACATGTTTGACTGTGTATAGTATATAGTAATATTTGCTACACTTGCTAATTGCGATGTATATGCTGCTGCTAATTACAGCTATGGCTGAGTTGGGTGACATGGACTATGTGGTGATATCCGTTTGCTGCCAAAATATCTATTTAGTTTGATTGGTTTACACACACGGTAAGCCCCTAGATGCCTTATTGTTTAGGGGAGACCATTCCTCTAATCGACAAAGGACTATGGTTCTATTATCTTGCTGTCACATTCCCTCCGGGGCACTGCAATTCTTTCTGGATGTAAATAAAGTTAATGGATCACCCTAGACCGGATGGTGGAATCTATTTATGTGCCGAGATATGCGGGGCTGTCTGCTGGGTATAACTGGGAAACAGCGGGAGGTTAACATATGTGCTTCAGAATCACATCACATCTACAGCATTTTTATTTCACCTGAAAAGTGCACTTAAATACTTCAAAATATATACATAGATCCTCGACACTACATGCTTCGGGTTGCAGTTCTGAGGTTCCAGGTATCCCCTGTGCTTAATCCTCTCCCACAGGGAGGTATATGGGTACAAACGCTCATTTTGAAACATCCAGTTGCACAATACAAAGTATTAAGCTTGCAGAATTCACATCACCTGCCTGCAGGTGGGAAGAGCTGGGCTGGTGAAGGGCTCTGGTCCGAACTACTGCATGAATTAGGAAAATGTGTTAACGGCGATCAGTAGGCTTCAGCCTCGGGTCAGTGCAGCTTCTGCAAGATTTTGCTAACATTTTGCGTATATTCATCATGGGGCCTGGCAGTCCACTGCAGCGGCTTGAGGGAAGAGTGGGGTAGTGGAGGAGGGCTCTGCCACTTACACAGGTACAGCCAAATTATGTCAGGGTCAATCTCTACCAAAGTGAAGAAAGTGCTAGAGGGAGAAAAATAAATAAGAGGAGAGTAACATTTTTAGTGTATGCATGTGGACTAGTCCAGACACTTGCATTTGAATACCTGAATGGAGGAGAGTTGAAAGAGTGTGCATGCAGTGAAAGGTGTGCATCATGTGTTTACCAGAGTTTGGCAAATTAATTCTAGGAGAGCAAGATTTTTCTTTTTTTATTAGTAGTTTTCTTTTTATGAATTTTGCTGAAGTATTTTGAGAAAGTATTACATTGAGGGGTACAATTACACATGGGTTAGAGCTCTCTTTTACCATAATTGTACAATATCCCCTTTCCCAAATTTACCCATACAGATAGGCCTTTTCCATTGCTATCGGAATTCCCCCTCAAATTAAGATTTAAAGTGACCCTGTGTTTACCTAGATACTACTTAACTACTGGGTGGCTGCATTACTGCAGTCTACTGGTGGAGTAAGCTATCTCTGCTTCCTATGGCTGCAGAAACAGCTTCTTGGCTTCCTTGCACTCCTGTATACCTACATTTAATCAGAGCAAGGCAACCTTCGGCATTCCAGATGTTTTGAACTACTCCTCCCATGATGCTTTGCCAGCATTATGGGTGTAAAGGCATTGTGAGGGATGTAGCCGACAACATCTGGAGTGCCAAAGGTTGGCTATCCCCAGGATTTGATGACACATCCCATCTTTCCCTTGCTCTGATTGATTACACCATGGGTGAGTGAATGGAAATCAGGAAGTTGTCTCTACAATAAAGGGCAGGCGGAGATGGCCCACTCCATTGCTATGTTGGCTAGGCAGGGAAGATCTTTTGATTTCTTTTAAATGGCAGTGGAGCACCTGGTTCTATTTTGTGTCTCCATGGAATCCTGGTTCCATGATATGTCAAGCCTTGTTGTATGCAGAGAGCACGTGGTTGGGTCATTGAGAGCCCAAGGTCATTTATGATATTTAAGGGTGCATCTGGCATCTTTGAGTCAACTGGGTACATTTACCAAAATGCTAAAATATATATTTCACATTATTGGGTTAGAATTACAACTAGTTTTTAATCTAGTGGATTTTTCACTCCTGTCTTACATTTCTCATCATCTAGTTCGGTCTTCACAATTTATCCCCTTCTCATAATCTTGTTTTCTGAAGCCATCTGCTTTTAATTAGCCCTGATTATTGATGGGAAGAATAATGAAGCTATTATGTGTTAAAGCCAGATGTAGGAATACAAAATGCAAAAGACAGGTAATAGGATTTGTGATGGAGAAAAGAGGACTAGCGGCGTGATGTATCTAGATTAGCCAGACTTCTGGATTACCTTGTAGCAGCTATCTGGAGTTTCTTTGGCTGGCGGGTGCTCAGATACAGCATACAGGCATCTGCTACATCCAAAATGTCACCGTCACCTGCAACGATAGCGACATCTCTTCACAATGGTTTGAAAAAGACTGATGTTGCACTATGTCGCACACAGCTTCAATTCCACAGTGAATGCTGTATATTGCAGGTAAAGGTGTTGCATCACACTGTCACACACTCTGCACATTATCAGAATATTGTACCAAAAAAACCCTAGTGTAAAACCATGCACACAAAATCCTCAGCTCTACACTCATACTCAGAGCTGCTGCAATGCATCCGATTTGAACAGTTGTGTGGATCTTAACCACATTATAAACTTAAGCTTTGAGATGTCATACTGGAGAGATCATTCACACAAAACCCAGAATAATTAAATGTCACACACAGCACCTCTAAATGCAAACATCTTAAAGGAACACTGTAGGCACCATAACCATTGCAAATGATTTAAGTGGTTATGGTGCCTGGAGTGTTTGAGTGCCGGGTCCTGCATTACTACTAAAGTGTTTTACTCACTGTTTAGTAGAGAGATTCGCTAGGTTTCAGGCTGCTGAGAACTGAGCATCTTTACTAGCGGGTGAGTAAAGTTTAGCGGTAAAGTGGAAGCTGGTGCCTGTGGACAGCAGGCACCAAAACCACATCAATCCACTGAAGTGGTTATATTACCTATAATGTTTCCTTATCTGCCTTCCTACCCCAAAAAAAAAAAAATTACATTAAAAGCAAATGCCTGCTAGTAACTCACATAGTCCCAAAGACGCGCAAAGTTTCCCGAGGCCCTCCAGCATTGTTAGCTGCAACTTAAAAGCTTGCGAGTGACTGTAGACAGTCGAGACGCGACCACTAATCGGAGCTTGAGAACGCAGGAAGCTCAGAAAGGCGGGAAAAGCTTCTTTACATACTCGCTGCCTGAGGAAATCTCTGCATGAAGTGGCAAGACAAACCAACACCTAATAACGAGAAATGGCGGAGTTAGTTAGAGAATGTGATACGGAGAGTTGTGATGGGTCAGATTTCCAATAGGTTTAACTAGGAATATATTTTCACCATAGTGTCATAAGAAAGGGTGATGGTGGTGGGGGTTGTACATTGAAATCTCTGAGCTCCTGTTACCATTATTAAAGGAACACTCCAAACACCATAACCACTATAATGCACTGTAGTGGTAATGTGCCAGGAAAGCTCTGGTGTGCATCCATTGTCAGAAGTCAAATCATTTTAGAACGGTTTTACTTCTCACCTGCTGCTCCCCAACTACACTACAGCTGACAGCCAGGCAGAAGCTTAAGAGCGTGTTTTAGTTCTCCTTAACTTAGCTCAGGCAGATGTACCAGATCCCCAGTTTAGGTGCTCCCCAGCTTTCCTGAGCCGAGTTCAGCAACAGAACTTCTAGCTCTCTGTTGGGTACAGTTGGAGGTAGAGAGCAAGCCCAGCAAACCCAAGGTAAAAAGTCAAATTGTTCTAAAATGGTTTGAATTTTGGTACTTACAATGAGGGGACACTAGGGCACTCCTAGCATCATAAACACTACAGCATACCACAGTGGTTGTGGTGCTCGAAATGTTCAGTTGAAGGGTCAATCTAAGCAACAAAACAAGTTACTATGACAAAATTGCGTTGCTGAGAAGGTTATGATGCAAAGGGTAACCTGCACCAACTCTATACCAACTATATCTAAAGATTAAAAAAAAAAAAAAGGGGGGTAATTTTTTAATTTATTTTTTAAACTCACTTAACCCATTCCCATGTTAAAGAAGTTCATATTGTGGGAGGGTGTAACTTACTAGAGAGGACTTGACCATGGCTAGTTTTTTTTTTGGCTTAAGTGAACCACTACTGCAATAATCAGATAATAAAATGGTTTCTTCCTCTTTATGGGTATTTCGCCGTTTACAGGGCTATGACATCCTTTCCTAGAAGACATGTACAGATCACCTTTCATGTTGGAGTTGTTCTCCTAAACCACCTGAACCTGCAGCTACACTACAGCCTTTTTAGCTTCTTCCATATCCCACAGCTCCAAATTCCAACCTTAAAATCATTAATGGGCAATGAATGCCCTTTATTTTTGAGGGACCAGTTAAGCAAATTGGGCCTGGCTTCCCAGCATGCATGCTCTTCAAGACAATTGTACGGAATACGTACTGAACCAATGAGGCAACCTACTCTTCAATCTGCAATGGAGACTATACGATAGACTCGAAGTCTAAAATGATAAAAATTAGCATGACCAGGAACTAGGTGACTCCCACACACCATAAGGTACCCAAGAAAACAGTGGAAAATCTTGTGTGGATTACAGTAATGCAAACGCGACAATAATGTTAGATGGCTGAATTTGGCAATCCTTGAAGGTCTTCTAATGACCTCACAGAGAAGCCAAGTGGTGGGTTTACCTCGAAGGCTCGCTGCAATATAAGTGGCTCTTCATGTATCAATCGCTTCACCAGACAAGGCCAGACTTTGTGAGCAAGAGGAAGAAGCACGTTTTCCTGAGAGTCCAGTTGAATTATAGCGAGGCGCAAAGTGTCCATGGCCTACATAAACATAAAATAAATTTTAAAAATAAATAAAAATACATATCTATGATCTAATAAGACAGATCAAACCTTTTCTAAACTTACTTCTTTATATAAAATTCAGGCTTATCTATTAATATCTGTAAGTGTTTAATACAATTTGTTTTTAGAGAATAAAAATCAAATCTTACAACATGACCCCTATTTTGTTTTATTTCTATTTTTGATACCTTAATTCGGATATGTGGGTCACTGTGTGATAGGAAGTGTGTACATCTCTCTGCCACCTCTTTGGAGATCTTGATGTTAGTGAACATTATCCCTGTATCCTCCTCATCGTTATTGGTCAGCCCTGGAGGCACCACATCTTGGGGGAACAGAGAAGGATAGTCATTAATCAATCAGACCTGGCATTAAAACAGATGGTTAACACCGCCAAGTAAATCTCTGACTCAATGTGGTCTCTTGGATACACTGATGGATTTGTTCATGGGGCAGGGCATGTCTGGCACATCAGAGAAAGCTAAGGGGTTTTCATTTTATAGTGAACCTTTTATCGGAATTTTTACTCTCTGTAGTCTTTTTAATGTCCAAAATCGTGCTATATTTACCCACCTTTAATTGAGCTTTATTAAGTTTTCATTTTACTCACATCCTTTCCAATGGATTCAGCACTGCCAATAGCCCGCCTTCAGGGAGGCAACCTTCCTCTGAGACCTGCCTCTGTTTGGAAAACCTAAGACTGCTACCCATGCCTGGTACATCCTACTTGATGAGGGCAATGTGCTAGCTTCACTGTCTATTGAATGGAGTGACGTAGCACATGTTCGCGGAAGAAGAATAAAGCTGGGCCTTAGAAAAGCCTGGACACAGCCTGTAGGCGTGTACTCAGGCAGACAGTCATTGGCATAGAGTCTATGCCAATAGTCTGTCTGCCAGGAGGGAGGGGAACACGATTTTTCAAGAAATCTATAGTGATTTGGCTAACACAATGTATAGATGAAATCTGAAGAAAATGTTATTTCTCAGAAGTGTGATGTGCCATGACAGGTACCCTTTAAGATATCCATTTTAAATGAGTGTTAGTTCTTACCTGCGCACTCCTCTTCACAGACCTCTCCTTGTGCCAGCCGCTTTTGCTCCATGTGACCTTTAAAGAATTCCTGTATTTCCTTTGCTAGGTTCCCAGGATGCCCACGCATTTTAGGTTTTACTTCAGCTAACTTTTCTGCCTCGTCTTGTGGTCCTAGCCACTTTCCTGCAGGAAAAGAGTTTTCATGGAGTAGCAGGAAAGTTACAAATAAGGGATTAAAAGTTATAGGTTAGGTTATAAAAAGTTTATAGGTTAGGAGGAGAGGTGTATGGAGTATTAGGAGGAGCTATAAACAGCGGTATATGGAGTAATAGGAGGAGTTACAGGGAGGGCGTATGGATTAATAGGAGTTATAGGGAGGGCTGCATGGTGTAATAGGAGGTATAGGGAGGGGTGTATGGAGTAATAGGAGGTATAAGGAGGGGTGTATGGAGTAATAGGAGGTATAGGGAGGGTGTATGGAATAATAGGAGGAGTTACAGGGAGGGCGTATGGATTAATAGGAGGTATAGGGAGGGGCGCATGGAGTAATAGGAGGAGTTATAGGGAGGGGTGCATGGAGTAATAGGAGGAGTTATAGGGAAGGGCGCATGGAGTAATAGGAGGAGTTATAGGGAGGGGCGCATGGAGTAATAGGAGGAGTTATAGGGAGGGGTGCATGGAGTAATAGGAGGAGTTATAGGGAGGGGTGCATGGAGTAATAGGAGGAGTTATAGGGAGGGGCGCATGGAGTAATAGGAGGAGTTATAGGGAGGGGCGCATGGAGTAATAGGAGGAGTTATAGGGAGGGGCGCTTGGAGTAATAGGAAGAGTTATAGGAAGGGGTGTATGGAGTAATAGGAGGAGTTATAGGGAGGGGTGTATGGAGTAATAGGAGGTATAGGGAGGGGTGTATGGAGTAATAGTAGTTATGAGGGAAGGTTATAGAGATTACATTTTATAGGGAGGATTATATGATGTAATATGGAGTAATAGGAGGAGGTATAGGGAGGGGCGCGTGGAGTAATAGGAGGAGTTATAGGGAGGGGCGCATGGAGTAATAGGAGGAGTTATAGGGAGGGGCGCATGGAGTAATAGGAGGAGTTATAGGGAGGGGCGCGTGGAGTAATAGGAGGAGTTATAGAAAGGGGTGTATGGAGTAATAATAGGAGGTATAGGGAGGGGTGTATGGAGTAATAGGAGGAGTTATAGGGAGGGGTGTATGGAGTAATAGGAGGTATAGGGAGGGATGTATGGAGTAATAGGAGGAGTTATAGAAAGGGGCGCATGGAGTAATAGGAGGAGTTATAGAAAGGGGTGTATGGAGTAATAATAGGAGGTATAGGGAGGGGTGTATGGAGTAATAGGAGGAGTTATAGAAAGGGGTGTATGCAGTGGTGTATCCTGGTTTTGTGCTGCCCTAGGCAGGACAAAACTCAGGCGCCCCCCTCCCCCCGCCCCACCTTCTAAATACACACACACACAGTCAGACACAAACACACACACACAGTCAGACACATACACAGACACACACACAGTCAGACACAAACACACACAGTCAGACACAAACACACACACAGTCAGACACACACACACACAGTCAGACACAAACACACACAGTCAGACACAAACACACACACACACATACACAGTCAGACACACACATTAACTTTTTTTTTAATTTAAAGAGGGTCTCTCTCCCTGGTGGTCCGGTGGTCCAGTGGCTGCAGGTCGGGCGGGCGGCGCTGGCGGGCGGGCGGCGCTGGCAGGCGGGCGGCGCTGGCAGGCGGGCGGCCGGTGAGAGAGCACTTCCTATGAGCTGACTGCTCAGCTCCCTCGCGCGCCGGCTACAGAGTGAGGCTGGGAGCCGGAAGATGACGTCATCTTCCGGCTCCCAGCCTCACTCTGTAGCCGGCGCGCGAGGGAGGGGAAGAGCACCCTCGCCGCCCGCCAGCGCCGCCCGCCCGCTCGGGATTTGGCATTTGGGGGGCGGCGTTTTTTGCCGCCCCCTGAAAAATGCCGCCCAAGGCAAATGCCTTGTTTGCCTCACGGCTAAAACGCCCCTGGGTGTATGGAGTAATAGGAGGTATAGGGAGGGGTGTATGGAGTAATAGGAGGAGTTATAGAAAGGGGTGTATGGAGTAATAGGAGGTATAGGGAGGGGTGTATGGAGTAATAGGAGGTATAGGGAGGGGTGTATGGAGTAATAGTAGTTATGAGGGAAGGTTATATGGATTAAATTTTATAGGGAGGATTATATGGTGTAATATGGAGTAATAGAAGGAGTTATAGGGAGGGTTATATGAAACTGTAATGTTTAACACTGCCACACAAAAGGGACACTGCCCAAGCAACAAAAACACTTCATTAAGATTAAGTGGTTTTGGTACTTACAGTGTCCAATTAAATAAACAGTTTGGGAACCATAACAACTTGAGCAGAATTAAGTCCAAGTTTGGCTCTCTAGGGCCGTTCCTTGCTGTCCCTGTCGACATCCAGATTCAGAAAACCAGCTTGAGGAAGCAAGGATTGTCGCTGAGCAGGAGCGTTGCTGATTGGCTTAGAGAGGTCAGCTGATGACAGCGAGGAGCGGCACTGGAGAACCAACTGCAGGGTTAAACCGTATGTGATTGGTGAAACTGCTAATGGTAAGGAAGCACCAGGGAGCTCCTGGCATCATAACAACGTCATGTTAATTAAGTTGTTATGGTGCCGGGTGTGTTTTTTTAAGGGCAGACAGGGCTTTAATGGAAGTAAATTAAAAGGGGCATTTTCTATATTTTTTAATATAAACACCATATCCACTACCTGTTATTATATATGTTATGGTACGATGAGTTTATTGGTGCCATTCTCCTGTGTTTTTTTTGTCAAACTGTTTTGGAGTTGCTTGACAAAATACAAAGAACAATCGGTCCAAAAGTTCTACAAAACAACCAGAAAGGTTTTGCTGTTGCATCTTAAAATATATACATACATACACAGATTACACTGAGTGCCACTTTTCTCCATGCACACAATTTCAGGAACCTGAAGATAAGGTCAGAACCCTGCACATAAACCTCAGAGGTGCTCAATCTGCTGAAGAACCTCACATAGTTTAACTGAAGACTTCATCACATCAGAGGTACAAGGTCAAGTGTTTACTCTCTCAATGTCTATGTTATTAGCCCCTCAAAAATGACTAAGCTCTAACAAACGCTTTATGGTCCTAAGAAGCTTTTGCCTATGTCCCCATTTACCTATGTATATGATAAGCGAACTCAAAACAGGAAGGAGTATTTTGGCAACTTCTTCTGGTGACTGGTCCAATGCAGGCAAAACATCCTGGACAAGGTCCTCCAGTAAAGGCAAAATATTAGGCCCACAGCATTCGAGTACAGCACGTAATACGCATGCAGCGCCACCGTGGCACCTTCGAAGGCGCCGTAGACCAACTGAGATCTCGCTTGCCAGATAGTCTGCATTAAGCTCTACAAGCTGGCTTATGTCCTTGTATCCAGAGAAGACGCTAACAGCATTCAGCGTCGACTTGGCTGCTCCACTCACTAACAGAGAGGTGTCACCAGCTTTCTCCAGCAGTGGGTACAAAGAAGTGATGAGGAGCGAACGGAAGGAGAAGCCAACAGCTTGGGCAAAACATGCAATTCCTTCCAGCTGAAGGCAGATCTTCCAAGCATTGAAACTCATATCTTGGACAGAAGGTTTTGCAGTAGTTCCAATGTTCAGCAATGACAACTGATCTTCGAGTTCTCCAGTGTCATTGTTTGTCTGCAGACACCAGTTGGAAGGGTCAATGTACTCATCCAAAAGAGGTCGCACAGCTTCCAGTAGCTCTTCTGAAGTCATGGCTTTGCTACCGTCATCCATTGTTTCAACTGCTATACCTGCTGCACCAAGAACCAACTGATTCAAAACCAGGATTGCAGGTAGCCTCTTTGCTCGATACATTCCCAAAAAATGGTCAGTAAGCAAACGGAAGTCTCCATAATACCCCAGGAGACGACACACACTTTGAATAAAGCACAGCACACGTAAATCCCTGAAGAATCGGAAACTCTTCTGCGAAGCTCCAGCGGTTGTTATACCATGTTTAAAAGGGGATTCATAAGCAGGAGCCCGCTCCTCCACCACTTTCATTGCACTAATGTCCAGCTCAAGTGTCTGCAGAAGTGCAGACGAGAGTCGCTGGAGGTGAGTCGAGGAGCGCAGAGTAAATGCAAGTCGAGAGCCAAGCAACCGAAGATATCCCTGCAGCAGAGCCAAAGTGTGAAGCTTTCCATTGTCATCCTGAGAACTCAGCAGTCTGGGTAGAGTTACAGCATGTGCGTGGAGGTTTTCTGAGAGCACTTCCCCAAGTGACCGTGAGGCTGGTCCTTCTATTGTCACATCTTGCAAAGCCTCAAGTGCTTTTTCCTTCACCTCAGGTTTCTCATCACTCATATGCCCTACCAAAATCTGAAGGAAAATCCCAGATGACTCCACCAGTGCCTTCCAGCACCGGGTAAGCAAGAGGTGCCCCATATTGACAAGTTCCAACCTTACTTTCCAGTGAGGGTCAGCTGTGCAGCGCTCGGTTATCCTCTCCACGTGATTAACCAGGTGAAGGGCGGTAGTTAGCACCCACTCTTTGTCCCTCTGAATCAAGACCTTTTGTATGCTTTTATGCAATGTAGAAAACTCAGGCTTCTCACTTGACTTCTCCATTAAGCTCTTATCAGATAACATCATGCAGACTGTGCCAGCCCACACATGCACTGCAGTGCTAGTCAATCTGTACCCTTGATTAGGGTCCCCACAGATTATCTTAGTAAGGGTAGTAGACACTCCAGGAAAGTAGGTAGCAAAGATATCTCCCTTTGAAAATGTAACCTCTACATCCTGCAGCAAAATAGCTCCCAAACAATTTAAAGCCTCCAAGCGTAACTCTCTTGACTTCTCATTTTCAGCAACATTCAGCAACATATTAATGGAAAATCCAAGTTCTGCAATCATACATGGGTCATACAGGAGAGGGATGACATCTGAGGTTGCGGAGCGGATTAACGAGTGCATGGCAGAGGTCAGCGCAAGCTTTAGCTCTTCAGGAAACTTTTCAAATGACTCCGACCCAAGGCCGGTGGACATCTCGGAATACAGGTCGAGAAAAATATCTCTCCTCTTTAGAGATACTAGTGAGAAGAAATAGGAGATGCATTCCAACAAAGCCTGCATAAAACTTGCCTCTTTGTGTGGCTTTGACCTCAAGGAAAAGCGCATAGGGAACAAGACATACTCCATTAGGCTCTCAAGAACACAGACCTCCGTCATAGCAATTTGAGCACGCAACTTCTTTACAT